TCCAGACATAGTGATCATTGCTGTTCAGGCTTTTGTTGGAGGGTCAAGAGAATTTTTTTTCTAAGGGTATTCTGAGTTTAGAAAAAAGAGTGGACTAAATACATAGACTTGTTAGAAGAATGTGTACAAAAAAGTATTTTTTTTTAACTATAATCACCATGTTTAATATTCGTTATCATTATTTTTTTATCACTAAAATCTACTTCAAACTACTATTTAAACAATAATTTTTGTTTTCTTTTTTATAGAAGAGGGGGCAAACGAGCATGCGGCTCACCTGACGGTAAGTGACTACTGCCGCCCATGAACAACCACAACACCAGGGGAATTGTAGGTGCGTTGTCAGTCTTTTACAAAGGAGTAAGCTCTTTTCTTGAAGGTCCTTAAGTCGTATCGGTCCGGAAAAATCGCCGGTGGTAAACAATTCCACAGAGAAATTGTACGAGGAAAAAAACTCCTAATAAAACGCACAGTGGTGGACCGCCAAACATCAATTTTGACGCAATGTGCGTTCGTGAAATTTGGTAGCTGGAATTAATCCGAACAATTCCTCAGAGCACTCTCCATGGTAGATTCGATATCAAATTAAAAGAGATGCAACATGCCTACGCAGCGCCAGTGAATCGAGCCGATCAGAAAGAACTGGTCGTCAACGATTCGAACCATTCTGGGATTGGATGCGGTCAAGTAGAAGGAGCTGGCACTGGGGTTCCCCAGCCCAGAGATGAGAACAGTATTCCATATGAGGCCGAACTTGCGCTTTGTAAGGTTGTAAGCGATGTCATCATCATCATCATTACAGCCCTTCACAAGGCCACTGCTGAACATAGGCCTCCCCCAAAGAATGCCACAAAGCACGGTCCTGAGCCACCTGCATCCATCGACTTCCTGCATATCTTACCAGGTCGTCACTCCATCTAGTGGGGGGACGCCCTACACTTCGCCTGCCGGTACGAGGCTGCCACTCGAGAACCTTTCTTCCCCATCGGTTGTCGGTTCTTCGAGCTATATGGCCGGCCCATTGCCACTTCAGCTTACTAATCCGTTGGGCTATGTCGGTCACTCTGGTTCTACTGCGGATATCTTCATTTCTGAGTTTATCACGCAGAGAAACTCCGAGCATAGCCCTCTCCATAGCTCGCTGAGCGACCTTGAGCTTCCTCTTCCGGCCAGCAGTGAAGGACCACGTCTCAGTTCCGTATGTCATCACTGGCAACACGCACTGGGTGTACAGTCTCGTTTTCAAGTTTTGAGGTATACCTGACGAGAAGATGTGCCGTAATTTCCCGAACGCTGCCCAACCGAGTTGAATCCGTCGATTGACCTCTCGGTCGAAGTTGGACTTACCTAGCCGGACTATTTGTCCCAGGTAAACATACTCGTCAACAACTTCGAGCTTAGTGTTCCCAACAACTACCGGCATAGGTGTGACATGGACATTAAACATGATCTTTGTTTTGTCCATGTTCATCTTAAGACCTATCCGTTGGGAAACACTATTGAGGTCATTGAGCATAGTGCTTAGGTCCTCCAGCGATTCTGCCATAAGGACTATATCGTTGGCAAATCGAAGGTGAGTGATGTACTCGCCATTGATGATGTTGATACCGTATCCTTTCCAGTCCAGAAGCTTGAAAACATCTTCCAATGCAGCGGTAAAGAGTTTCGGGGATATGACGTCACCCTGTCTTACACCTCTCTGCAATTGGATAGGTTTCGTACTCTGGTTCTGTACTCGGATAGCCATCGTAGCCCTACTGTACAAGCACTTCAACAATTCGATATACCGACAGTCAACTTGGCATCGCTGAAGGGACTGCAGCACCGCCCAAATTTCGACGGAATCAAAGGCTTTCTCATAGTCCACATACGCCAGACATAGTGGCAAATTGTATTCCTCGGACTTCTGTACAATTTGCCGAAGGGTATGTAATGTGGTCTATGGTGCTAAAGCCTTTTCGGAAACCGGCTTGTTCGGGAGGCTGGAAGTCGTGAAGACTGCGCGCGAGACGATTCGTAATGACTCTCGAAAACAGCACGTAGACGCGGCTCAGAAGGTAAATCGGTCTGTAGTTCTTCAAGAGAGCGTTGTCGCCTTTCTTGAACAACAAGACCACCGCACTTCTGCTCCACGCCTCCGGTGTAATGCCACCATGGAGGACGGAATTAAAGAGCTTCTGAAGGACTTCAAGTACCGGTTTTCCACCCGCTTTCAGAAGCTCCGCTGTAATTCCATCCTCGCTTGGGGCCTTGCCGTTTTTAAGGTGCTGGAGAGCCATTCTAATCTCGCTCAGACTGACGTCCGGTATATCATCGGAATAATGTCGGATAAGACTCGCTCTTGGATCGTTACTCACACTTGCGTGCGGCTTCAACGATGACGTGTACAGCTGCCCATAGAACCTCTCAATCTCACTAAAAATCTCAGGTGCCCCGGAAACGATGCTGCCACATTCGGTCTTCAGCTTTGACAGTTGGCTCTTTCTGGCAGACAGATCTCTGGCAAAGACTTTAGAGCCTTGGTTCCGCTCGATTGCTTCTTCAATACGAGCTATATTGAAGTTGCGTAAGTCCCGTCGCATGCATTTGGAGATCTGTCTGTTCAGATGCCTGTATGCTGTCAAGTCTGTTGAAGAATGTAGCTTCATCTCCCGTCTAACAGCCATGAGATTAAGAGTGTGATCGGAGAGTTTTTGTGTTCTTCTGCGGCGGGTCTTGCAGAACTTAGCTCCGACCGCATGGACAGTTTCCACGAGCTTATCATTTATATCGTCCACTTCATTGCAGTCTTCTAGGCACTGAAAACGGTTTTGTAACTCGAGCTGAAAGGTTTCGGGACTTTGGATTAGAGCACGAGGGGGACGGAGCGTTGAATTCATTAGACGAGACCTCTCCAACTTAACGTTTAGGTTCAGTGTGCCTCTAACCATTCGGTGATCGCTGCCGGTTTTCACCCTCGCGATCACTGAGACATCATTGAACAGTTGTCGTCTGGTCGTCATAATGAAGTCAATCTCATTTTTTGTCGAACCGTCGGGGCTCGACCAGGTCCACTTCCTGTCGGGCGGCTTCTGGAAGAAAGAGTTCATCATAAAGAGTCCCTCTTTCTCCATGAAGTCGGCCAGCTGCTGGCCCCTTGGGTTCCGTTGCCCTATTCCAAATTTCCCCACTTTCAGCTCACCGTTCTCTCTTGTGCCTAGTTTTGCATTGAAGTCTCCCGTTAACACCGTATATTGGGTTTTGGAGGAATGCATGGCTCTAGAGATATCCTCATACATTTCCTCCACCTCCTGATCGGGGTGTGCCGAGGTTGGTGCGTAAACCTGTATGGCGTTCAGCGAATACCGTTTTGTGATTCTGAGTATAAGGTACGCAACCCTCGTCGACGCACTCTCAATCTTTACAACGTTGTTAACGAGAGACTTGTGGACGATAAATCCGACACCTCCTTGGGACAGATGGTCCCCCTCCCGGTAATAGAGCAAGTTGCCGGATTCGAGGACTACAGTGTCCTCCCCCTCTCTTCGGACTTCGGATAATCCTATAATGTGCCAGCGTAACTTGTCTATCTCTTCTTCCAGCTCCACAATCTTCTCGTCAGTCCTCAGGGTGCGTGCGTTGTATGTTGCCAGGTCGAGTCGTCGTAGGTGGCAACCGAACCTCCACCGGAGATTCTTAGCACCCCCTGCCCCGCCGTTACCATGGTCGCCACCGTAGCCAGGAATAGCGGGGCCGCCGGGGACTGGGGGCCGTCTCTTCGTAACTTTCATCATGGGGGGTATATTGCCATAGTTGCCACGCTTGGCGAGCGGGTTGGCAACCGCAGTTTTTTATTGTATTTTTGCCGTTACCAGGAAGATGCTGCTGCCCATCTCCTGCCTGTTTCCCTTTGTCGCCTTTTACGACACCCACGGGAAGATATGGGGTAGTGGATATTCTTAACCGCCACTACACGGCAAGCGATGTTCCGGCATGAAATACTGTCTCGCTCTGCTGAGCACGCCAAGCTTTTTAGAGGCCAATTTGGACTTCTCTTCCAAATAACCACGAAACTGCACACGATTCGATATGTCGACGCCGAGGATTCCGATACTGACTGAGGCAGCAAGGGGAGTGCCTTGAAACTGAGGAGATACGACAAAGGAGTTCATTTTAGCGGTAAACGCGCAAACTTGTGTCTTCTGGGGATTCAACTGGACTAGATTTAGTCGCCCCAATCCGAGACTTTGTTCAGCAAAGATAGGACTTCAGACATAAGTTTGTCCCGGTACTCGAAGCGACGTTTTCCCGAGAAATATTGGCACGGCCGGTGTATAAGGCATCACCAGTGCTGTCGTCTTGCATAGCAATGAATGTTACCAGTTTGCAATATATCATTGATATGCAAAAGAAACAGCGTTGGTGATAGCACGAAGCCTTGTTGGGGTTCCCCCAGCGTTAGTACGCTTAAACGTTTTCGTTATATAAATGGCCTAGGATGTTAGTTAATGAACGGATTTAACTTTGAACCGCCGACATATTATAAAAAGCAGCAATAATAAACAACTAAGTTTTGAGACTTATTTGATATAATACATATATTATGAGATAATTTACACCTATATAGGTCCTAGTTACAACAATCGCTGCCACAGTTGCAAACCTTGACTTACAAACTTCCTGAGTATATATATATATATATATGTGTGTGTATATATATATTATATATATATGCATATATATATATATATATTATATATATATATATATATATATATATATATATATATATATATATATATATATATAGAATTCAAATCACAACCAAAAGCAACGTTGCGCAAAAAAAAACGAATCGTTTAAAATAAAATTTTACGTCTTTCATATTCAAATTATCAAGATTTCGGTTATAAACTTCGTGGAAAACGTCACCTATCTATAATAGTATATAATTTTTCTATTATATCATTATATTTGTCATTATATAAAATTAAACACCTATAATACGATTGTGTCCATACCTCCATCTTCTCATCAATTATGACTCTAGGCGACACGGGGTCATCGCTGACCATCTTTTCGGCAATGTAACGTTGGTATGCCTCCTCCAATTGTATGAGTTTTGGACCTTCGATCCTCTTATAGCGTCGCGCACCAATTTTACACTGCTCCCATATTATTCCAGAGCTAATAGAAACAAAACCATATTTAATTTTCTGATTTCCACTAATAACTTTAAAATAGAATACAATAGAATCGTTTTTATTCACTATAGAATTACTACATAATACTCATTGCAATACATTTTTTTTATTTACTGCTGGTTCGGAAAATACCTTTGTCCTGGGAAGGACCAACTAGAAACTAAATACACACAAATACTTGTTTTTAAACTTAATATTATTATTGTGTATGATTTTGTTTTAAAAGTCAGTAATATGGTCATAATGAACAGCTGGTAATTGCATGGTAGTTTTTAGTCTTATCATTTAAAATTTTGCGGGCCTTGTACGGAGAGCACGAGCTCGGTGTGCAGCGGCTCGGCACTTGGAGACGCTGAGGTAGACGATCTCGAGCAGCTCGCGGTCGTCGACGAGCGACAGGCCGAAGCCGTGTATGGAGAGCACGAGCTCGGTGTGCAGCGGCTCGGCCTCGCCCAGCGTGTGAGTTGTGTGTAGTGAGTAGCGAGTAGTGAGTAGTGAGTAGCGAGGCTGCGGCGCGGTGCGCACTCACTTGGAGACGCTGAGGTAGACGATCTCGAGCAGCTCGCGGTCGTCGACGAGCGACAGGCCGAAGCCGTGTATGGAGAGCACGAGCTCGGTGTGCAGCGGCTCGGCCTCGCCCAGCGTGTGAGTTGTGTGTAGTGAGTAGCGAGTAGTGAGTAGTGAGTAGCGAGGCTGCGGCGCGGTGCGCACTCACTTGGAGACGCTGAGGTAGACGATCTCGAGCAGCTCGCGGTCGTCGACGAGCGACAGGCCGAAGCCGTGTATGGAGAGCACGAGCTCGGTGTGCAGCGGCTCGGCCTCGCCCAGCGTGTGAGTTGTGTGTAGTGAGTAGCGAGTAGTGAGTAGTGAGTAGCGAGGCTGCGGCGCGGTGCGCACTCACTTGGAGACGCTGAGGTAGACGATCTCGAGCAGCTCGCGGTCGTCGACGAGCGACAGGCCGAAGCCGTGTATGGAGAGCACGAGCTCGGTGTGCAGCGGCTCGGCCTCGCCCAGCGTGTGAGTTGTGTGTAGTGAGTAGCGAGTAGTGAGTAGTGAGTAGCGAGGCTGCGGCGCGGTGCGCACTCACTTGGAGACGCTGAGGTAGACGATCTCGAGCAGCTCGCGGTCGTCGACGAGCGAGAGGCCGAAGCCGTGTATGGAGAGCACGAGCTCGGTGTGCAGCGGCTCGGCCTCGCCCAGCGTGTGAGTTGTGTGTAGTGAGTAGCGAGTAGTGAGTAGTGAGTAGCGAGGCTGCGGCGCGGTGCGCACTCACTTGGAGACGCTGAGGTAGACGATCTCGAGCAGCTCGCGGTCGTCGACGAGCGACAGGCCGAAGCCGTGTATGGAGAGCACGAGCTCGGTGTGCAGCGGCTCGGCCTCGCCCAGCGTGTGAGTTGTGTGTAGTGAGTAGCGAGTAGTGAGTAGTGAGTAGCGAGGCTGCGGCGCGGTGCGCACTCACTTGGAGACGCTGAGGTAGACGATCTCGAGCAGCTCGCGGTCGTCGACGAGCGACAGGCCGAAGCCGTGTATGGAGAGCACGAGCTCGGTGTGCAGCGGCTCGGCCTCGCCCAGCGTGTGAGTTGTGTGTAGTGAGTAGCGAGTAGTGAGTAGTGAGTAGCGAGGCTGCGGCGCGGTGCGCACTCACTTGGAGACGCTGAGGTAGACGATCTCGAGCAGCTCGCGGTCGTCGACGAGCGACAGGCCGAAGCCGTGTATGGAGAGCACGAGCTCGGTGTGCAGCGGCTCGGCCTCGCCCAGCGTGTGAGTTGTGTGTAGTGAGTAGCGAGTAGTGAGTAGTGAGTAGCGAGGCTGCGGCGCGGTGCGCACTCACTTGGAGACGCTGAGGTAGACGATCTCGAGCAGCTCGCGGTCGTCGACGAGCGACAGGCCGAAGCCGTGTATGGAGAGCACGAGCTCGGTGTGCAGCGGCTCGGCCTCGCCCAGCGTGTGAGTTGTGTGTAGTGAGTAGCGAGTAGTGAGTAGTGAGTAGCGAGGCTGCGGCGCGGTGCGCACTCACTTGGAGACGCTGAGGTAGACGATCTCGAGCAGCTCGCGGTCGTCGACGAGCGACAGGCCGAAGCCGTGTATGGAGAGCACGAGCTCGGTGTGCAGCGGCTCGGCCTCGCCCAGCGTGTGAGTTGTGTGTAGTGAGTAGCGAGTAGTGAGTAGTGAGTAGCGAGGCTGCGGCGCGGTGCGCACTCACTTGGAGACGCTGAGGTAGACGATCTCGAGCAGCTCGCGGTCGTCGACGAGCGACAGGCCGAAGCCGTGTATAGAGAGCACGAGCTCGGTGTGCAGCGGCTCGGCCTCGCCCAGCGTGTGAGTTGTGCGTAGTGAGTAGCGAGTAGTGAGTAGTGAGTAGCGAGGCTGCGGCGCGGTGCGCACTCACTTGGAGACGCTGAGGTAGACGATCTGGAGCAGCTCGCGGTCGTCGACGAGCGACAGGCCGAAGCCGTGTATGGAGAGCACGAGCTCGGTGTGCAGCGGCTCGGCCTCGCCCAGCGTGTGAGTTGTGTGTAGTGAGTAGCGAGTAGTGAGTAGTGAGTAGCGAGGCTGCGGCGCGGTGCGCACTCACTTGGAGACGCTGAGGTAGACGATCTCGAGCAGCTCGCGGTCGTCGACGAGCGACAGGCCGAAGCCGTGTATGGAGAGCACGAGCTCGGTGTGCAGCGGCTCGGCCTCGCCCAGCGTGTGAGTTGTGTGTAGTGAGTAGCGAGTAGTGAGTAGTGAGTAGCGAGGCTGCGGCGCGGTGCGCACTCACTTGGAGACGCTGAGGTAGACGATCTGGAGCAGCTCGCGGTCGTCGACGAGCGACAGGCCGAAGCCGTGTATGGAGAGCACGAGCTCGGTGTGCAGCGGCTCGGCCTCGCCCAGCGTGTGAGTTGTGTGTAGTGAGTAGCGAGTAGTGAGTAGTGAGTAGCGAGGCTGCGGCGCGGTGCGCACTCACTTGGAGACGCTGAGGTAGACGATCTCGAGCAGCTCGCGGTCGTCGACGAGCGACAGGCCGAAGCCGTGTATGGAGAGCACGAGCTCGGTGTGCAGCGGCTCGGCCTCGCCCAGCGTGTGAGTTGTGTGTAGTGAGTAGCGAGTAGTGAGTAGTGAGTAGCGAGGCTGCGGCGCGGTGCGCACTCACTTGGAGACGCTGAGGTAGACGATCTCGAGCAGCTCGCGGTCGTCGACGAGCGACAGGCCGAAGCCGTGTATGGAGAGCACGAGCTCGGTGTGCAGCGGCTCGGCCTCGCCCAGCGTGTGAGTTGTGTGTAGTGAGTAGCGAGTAGTGAGTAGTGAGTAGCGAGGCTGCGGCGCGGTGCGCACTCACTTGGAGACGCTGAGGTAGACGATCTCGAGCAGCTCGCGGTCGTCGACGAGCGACAGGCCGAAGCCGTGTATGGAGAGCACGAGCTCGGTGTGCAGCGGCTCGGCCTCGCCCAGCGTGTGAGTTGTGTGTAGTGAGTAGCGAGTAGTGAGTAGTGAGTAGCGAGGCTGCGGCGCGGTGCGCACTCACTTGGAGACGCTGAGGTAGACGATCTCGAGCAGCTCGCGGTCGTCGACGAGCGACAGGCCGAAGCCGTGTATGGAGAGCACGAGCTCGGTGTGCAGCGGCTCGGCCTCGCCCAGCGTGTGAGTTGTGTGTAGTGAGTAGCGAGTAGTGAGTAGTGAGTAGCGAGGCTGCGGCGCGGTGCGCACTCACTTGGAGACGCTGAGGTAGACGATCTCGAGCAGCTCGCGGTCGTCGACGAGCGACAGGCCGAAGCCGTGTATGGAGAGCACGAGCTCGGTGTGCAGCGGCTCGGCCTCGCCCAGCGTGTGAGTTGTGTGTAGTGAGTAGCGAGTAGTGAGTAGTGAGTAGTGAGTAGTGAGTAGCGAGGCTGCGGCGCGGTGCGCACTCACTTGGAGACGCTGAGGTAGACGATCTCGAGCAGCTCGCGGTCGTCGACGAGCGACAGGCCGAAGCCGTGTATGGAGAGCACGAGCTCGGTGTGCAGCGGCTCGGCCTCGCCCAGCGTGTGAGTTGTGTGTAGTGAGTAGCGAGTAGTGAGTAGTGAGTAGCGAGGCTGCGGCGCGGTGCGCACTCACTTGGAGACGCTGAGGTAGACGATCTCGAGCAGCTCGCGGTCGTCGACGAGCGACAGGCCGAAGCCGTGTATGGAGAGCACGAGCTCGGTGTGCAGCGGCTCGGCCTCGCCCAGCGTGTGAGTTGTGTGTAGTGAGTAGCGAGTAGTGAGTAGTGAGTAGCGAGGCTGCGGCGCGGTGCGCACTCACTTGGAGACGCTGAGGTAGACGATCTCGAGCAGCTCGCGGTCGTCGACGAGCGACAGGCCGAAGCCGTGTATGGAGAGCACGAGCTCGGTGTGCAGCGGCTCGGCCTCGCCCAGCGTGTGAGTTGTGTGTAGTGAGTAGCGAGTAGTGAGTAGTGAGTAGCGAGGCTGCGGCGCGGTGCGCACTCACTTGGAGACGCTGAGGTAGACGATCTCGAGCAGCTCGCGGTCGTCGACGAGCGACAGGCCGAAGCCGTGTATGGAGAGCACGAGCTCGGTGTGCAGCGGCTCGGCCTCGCCCAGCGTGTGAGTTGTGTGTAGTGAGTAGCGAGTAGTGAGTAGTGAGTAGCGAGGCTGCGGCGCGGTGCGCACTCACTTGGAGACGCTGAGGTAGACGATCTCGAGCAGCTCGCGGTCGTCGACGAGCGACAGGCCGAAGCCGTGTATGGAGAGCACGAGCTCGGTGTGCAGCGGCTCGGCCTCGCCCAGCGTGTGAGTTGTGTGTAGTGAGTAGCGAGTAGTGAGTAGTGAGTAGCGAGGCTGCGGCGCGGTGCGCACTCACTTGGAGACGCTGAGGTAGACGATCTCGAGCAGCTCGCGGTCGTCGACGAGCGACAGGCCGAAGCCGTGTATGGAGAGCACGAGCTCGGTGTGCAGCGGCTCGGCCTCGCCCAGCGTGTGAGTTGTGTGTAGTGAGTAGCGAGTAGTGAGTAGTGAGTAGCGAGGCTGCGGCGCGGTGCGCACTCACTTGGAGACGCTGAGGTAGACGATCTCGAGCAGCTCGCGGTCGTCGACGAGCGACAGGCCGAAGCCGTGTATGGAGAGCACGAGCTCGGTGTGCATCGGCTCGGCCTCGCCCAGCGTGTGAGTTGTGTGTAGTGAGTAGCGAGTAGTGAGTAGTGAGTAGCGAGGCTGCGGCGCGGTGCGCACTCACTTGGAGACGCTGAGGTAGACGATCTCGAGCAGCTCGCGGTCGTCGACGAGCGACAGGCCGAAGCCGTGTATGGAGAGCACGAGCTCGGTGTGCAGCGGCTCGGCCTCGCCCAGCGTGTGAGTTGTGTGTAGTGAGTAGCGAGTAGTGAGTAGTGAGTAGCGAGGCTGCGGCGCGGTGCGCACTCACTTGGAGACGCTGAGGTAGACGATCTCGAGCAGCTCGCGGTCGTCGACGAGCGACAGGCCGAAGCCGTGTATGGAGAGCACGAGCTCGGTGTGCAGCGGCTCGGCCTCGCCCAGCGTGTGAGTTGTGTGTAGTGAGTAGCGAGTAGTGAGTAGTGAGTAGCGAGGCTGCGGCGCGGTGCGCACTCACTTGGAGACGCTGAGGTAGACGATCTCGAGCAGCTCGCGGTCGTCGACGAGCGACAGGCCGAAGCCGTGTATGGAGAGCACGAGCTCGGTGTGCAGCGGCTCGGCCTCGCCCAGCGTGTGAGTTGTGTGTAGTGAGTAGCGAGTAGTGAGTAGTGAGTAGCGAGGCTGCGGCGCGGTGCGCACTCACTTGGAGACGCTGAGGTAGACGATCTCGAGCAGCTCGCGGTCGTCGACGAGCGACAGGCCGAAGCCGTGTATGGAGAGCACGAGCTCGGTGTGCAGCGGCTCGGCCTCGCCCAGCGTGTGAGTTGTGTGTAGTGAGTAGCGAGTAGTGAGTAGTGAGTAGCGAGGCTGCGGCGCGGTGCGCACTCACTTGGAGACGCTGAGGTAGACGATCTCGAGCAGCTCGCGGTCGTCGACGAGCGACAGGCCGAAGCCGTGTATGGAGAGCACGAGCTCGGTGTGCAGCGGCTCGGCCTCGCCCAGCGTGTGAGTTGTGTGTAGTGAGTAGCGAGTAGTGAGTAGTGAGTAGCGAGGCTGCGGCGCGGTGCGCACTCACTTGGAGACGCTGAGGTAGACGATCTCGAGCAGCTCGCGGTCGTCGACGAGCGACAGGCCGAAGCCGTGTATGGAGAGCACGAGCTCGGTGTGCAGCGGCTCGGCCTCGCCCAGCGTGTGCGCGGCCGCCGCCAGCGCCGCGTCCTCCGCCACCAGCACCACGCGCTGCAGCCCGTCCAGGAACGACACCCACGACACAAGCGTCCCCTCCTTTATCCTGACACACACGCGCAACGTAACACATTGCATACATTACATGAAATATGATATGAGGTCTTTTAATGGATTTTTAAAAAAAAAAGTCGATTGTTAGAGATGCTTAATCAACTTCAAGAATTTAATAACTGAAAGTCGATTCTAAAATCAAGATTCGATTTTACGCGCGCCTTTTCCATCCCTAATCAAGATTGGACGTTTGATTAGGCTGTCTTGTTCTCTGACAAAATTAGGATATGGCTGCATTTTAAAGAGATGATTATTTTAAAGAGTACACTTTCATAGTGATAACCAATATTAAATTAAATTTAAGCTAATTTCGAAGATAAAGTCTATTTATATTACCGTGATAAGCCAACAATTTTTACCTATACTATATAACATAATAAAGCGGAAGAGTTTGTTTGTTTGTTTTTTTGTTTGTTTAAACGCGCTAATCTCTGGAACTACCAGTCCTATTTGAAAAATTATTTTTGTATATTATAGCCAGATTCATGTAGAATAGTATAGCCTATCTAGCATTAAGCTATATCACTCAGCTAGCCTTAAATATGGATATTTGTTAAGCAAGTCAGAAGAAAAAGCGCCCCCGAAATTATTTATCCGCGTACACTGGTGTTATGGTTAGGGATACGTAAATACAATGTTCTAGAAAAATATAGATCTTCTAAAAAAAATTGCGATACCATATGTCTATTTCTTATACAAAAGCCATAGGTAGGTAGAGAGATAGCCATTAGGTATTTTGTGACAAAAAAATATTGAAAATTAAAAAGTGATTTATAAGCGTTATTATTAAACATGGCCTATTTATCAAGACAATTTTATGAAGATAAACTTTGTACACAAGGTTATTTGGACGCATAGTTTAAGAGTTTTGTCACTTACATAAATTCGCCAATGCCGTCTTTTCTGAGATCATTTTCGATTTCTTTCTTCTTGTGGCCTTCGAATATAAGAATACGAGGTCCAGCCGGATTGTCCCACGTGAAGAGCATTTGGTGCATAGGTTGTATTTTCCTGGATAAATTAACAACAACAAATTCCTAATATGCGTATAAACTGTTGTTTGCTTAGCTTTAATTTTTTTTTGTTTCATATTAAGATTTAGTTTGGTTTTATAATTTCTGTATTTAAAAGTTAATTTAATTCAGATAACATTGGATAACATAAATGTTTACATTGAAATGGGATGGAATTTCAATTCGTTGAAAAGCATTAGATTGGAAAAACATTTAAATAATCATTCTACATTGTACGTGGTAGAGCCATGCTGCAGCTATATTAGTAGTATAGTTGTAGCACGAATGGGTAGGCTTGACCGGGGAAGGACCACGCTCTCACAGAATACCAGCGTAAAACGCAGCTTGACATTGCTGTGTTTCGTATGGTGAGTGTAGAGAACCGGAGACACTTTTTACTGTAAAAGAGGCATTCCATCTTAGTCTGATTTTATTGAGGAGAAATGTAGATGTCTATGGTTCACAGCAACCACTTACCATCAGGTGGACTGTGTGCTCGTTTGTTGCCCTTATTCTATAAAAAAAAAGAACTAGTTTTTGTTGGCGCCCTTTATCGCAAAAGAAGAATATGACACGTTTTCTCTAAATGTCAACTTCAAGGCAACTTCAACGGACCCTGCCGATTTACCGGAAAGGTTTTGGTAATTATTAGCGGGAAATCCACTCAAAAATTCTGAAACCACCGAGACTAGGAATAGAGAGTAACATTCTATTGTGATGGTATTGGTTATACTCTAGGGTTGCCAACAGTAAATTTAAAAAACTAGGATTTGAAGTTGGAAAAACCAGAACAATTCAGTTTAAAAACAGGACGCAGTAAAGGCCTTGTTAAACATAACTGCGAACCGAACCGAACTGAAAACTTAGCGAATGTATGTGCTATGTATGCAAGTTTCGGTTCATTTTCGTTTTCGCTTCGCCACGCTATCGGTTTGCTGCCTATTTCGCCAAATAACTTTTCGTCGTTATTTTCAATGCCGTGATCTTAAAAATATATGACCTTATCAGGCCGTTTTAAAAACCCAGGATGCTGCTTAAAAACTATCCAGGACACTACAGAAACTAGCACATGTTCCAGGAAAACAGGACGGTTGGCAACCCTATTATACTTTCTCCAACCCGTCTATCCTGCAGCGTGGTTACGGTGAGTAACTCTGTACCTACTGGAGCATTTTCGAAAGACTGTGTTCAGCAGTGAACTTAAAAAGGTTGTAGTAAAGATGGTGTGAGACGCGTTGGAAAACGTATCTTTAAAATAAAAGTCAAAGTATTTTAATTTTTTGTATGCTTATTTAAAGCACTTATAGACGTCAAAAAAGTGAAACCTCTTCAGAGTAGAACCGATAATAAACTGGGGGTATTTGTGTACTTTTCTGTAAGTTTTATTTGTTTAGAAATAGTATTAAACGTTAGTTTGTTGCATTTAATATATTAGAAATGAATCGAATTGTCATTATGCATTGTAATAATAACGTAAGTACTGACTTGACGTTGACGTTCTCCTTCTCGTAGACGGTGATGGTGTGCGGCGAGAAGTTGACGAGCAGCGCGGGCGCGTGTCCGTCGCGGTACTGGCGCACCGTGACGTACGTGCCGCCCTCGCTCAGCTGCACCTCCACGTGCAGCCCGCCGTACTGCGCGCACCCACACAATGTCATTACATACAACCTCCGTGCCTGTGTGCCTGTGTGCTTGTGATACACTCGCCCTACACTACAACTTCCCATTTGGTGCCTATTATTATTGTTTTAAATTGTTTTGTTTAAAATCGGTTTCAATATAAACTTATACAGGTATTTTTACTAAAGCTTAGAATGAAATTGGTTTGACGAAGACGATGGCGTCGTTTGTTTTCATGACAGACATGTTAGACAAAAATATAATTACTTTAAAACGTGACGATATATTGAAATTTGGAGAGAAGAAAATTAAACACATTGAAACAACTACCAAATAGGAAGTTAATGATTAAGTAGTAAAGGACGATGATGTTCTCCTGGCTGTGATAGAACTAAGAAGACAGCTTCCGAACAATAAGAAGTTATCAACTGCGTAGATGTTTGCACCCCCATACACACAAACACAGAATTACTTTAAGCACAAAATTATTAATTTCCTTCAACTTCACCGGTCGTAAAGTCGGCTGCTAGATATCTGGCTTCTCCCGTTGCAAAGAGAGTTTACCTATATTATATTGGCTCTCGACTTTAAAAATATTTTTGCTCTATCAAAAATGACGATGCTCCTTTAATATCACGATTCTTCTTTGAATTTTTCAAATGTTCCAAAACTAAGAGAACTATATTATATGTTAATTTAGAAGATAACAGTATGGATGGACATAAACAAATAGGATAAATTTAAGTACACATAAGAAATTACGATTTTCATATGTTCAAAAAAGTATATCGCAAGCTTCTGAAGTCTACGACTTCTTAATACCAACACAAAAATATTATACAGAAACAAAATTAATGAACATCAATCAATGATATCATGTTAATACATGCATTCTAATGAAAAAAAAAATATGTCAAATACTGCACAATAAAATACAATACAATTACGTTTTAAAACTAACTACTAACTAACTAGGATCTAGGCCTTCGACCTCTTCGAAGTACAAATAACATTAATCTTCCAAAACCACCCACAAATTACGGCAAAATAAATTACCAAACAATAAATTATCTTTAGATATAAATATATCCAATAAATTTACGGTCTTCAAAAACAAACTAAAACGATATTGTAATCAACAGTGTTAAATTAAATTATATTTGAATCTGGCCCTGGTATAGTTTATATTATAAGCATAGCATTTTTATTAATTTCAACCCACAAATATTATAGATTTTTTGTTTCTAGTTTCTTTGCAACGACATTAGGTGTTGCATTGTACAATGTAGCCTCGATTTAGTTGTTATTGTGTATATTGTATCTTATGTTTGTGTTTATCGACCTTAAATCTTGTTAAATATCTTTCTTTTAAATTTCTCATCAAGTGAAATAATGTATTTTTTATGAGAAAATAAATTTTCTTTAACCATATATCGCAAAAGCTTAAGACAATTTTAATAATTAATGCCGTCATTGCATAAATACAATTAATTATTTGCATTACACCTTCTTGCAAAACCATCCCGGGCAACGACAGATTGAGAGCAATGGCGTCGTAAAAATGTTGTAAGCGACCTATAATTGAAATTGAGACAAAAAGCTACTAACTATTAGGTCGACTTTTTCTTCATTTTTCAGTCCGTTACTGTGTAACTAATAAACGATGGAGTTCCAATGTTTGCAAATTTGGTAACGTAAATAAGGTTCACTCCTTAAGACGCCATATGACTAATTCTCATAAATTCAATAATAATTAAGTATACTTTGATATAAAATGTTAAATTTTATAAATGAGTTGATGCTTTAACAAACAAAAGTTATTATTACATATATAACACTAATCTAACGGCACAAAAGTAACTTTTATTTACCTCGTTATTAAGCTTTAAACACACAGTGTGTTGCTCAGTATAGAGGAAAGGAGCGGCGTGTTCCGTAGAGCCGGCGACTCGCAGCAGCAACAGTTTGTCCTCCTTCTCCACCACCGGCCACAGAGGCGAACTCGCGTTTTGTTCAACCTTAGAGACAACACGCACAATATCAATATTGTTCAGCTCATCGCATGTCCATTGTTGAACATAAGCTCCACTCAAAGAGTGAGGGCTTCCACGACTTTTTCTGCAACCAGGGCGTAATTTTGGCGCCAGCGCCACTTTGGAATGAGGTTGAATATTTGAGTGATTTTCATAGAAGGGTACATAAATAATTTGTTAGTAAAGTGAAAAATTTAATGTTTCTTAATGAAATATTTTATATTAGTAATTATATATATATATTGTGTATATGCATACACTATAAACCAAAAAAAAATATTAAATCGTAAATTTTTAAATGATGATGACAATGTGCATTCAGCGTTTATAGGAATATTATCCGGGAATATATATATATATATATATCATACGGCTCGATGGGGTAGGGGTAGGGGTAGGGGTAGGGCCACTCTCTCACGGAACACCTTAGTCTCCAGGGTGACAAATTTGGTTATTAATCAAGAATAAATATCTATGGACCACAGCATTAACTAACCATCAGGTGAATTGTGTGCGTGTGTGTCACCCTTATTCTATAAAAATTACGGATAAGATCCTAGACTGCCTTGTCAGTACATGACAACCAAACAAGTAACTGTCAGCTGTAGAATAAATTACTAAATTTCACCCGGAACGACAGACAGACAGACAAACAAGTGACTTAATAAAAATGTGATAATAAAATAGAAACACATGATAATGAAAGTTGAGGAAAGTAGGATAAATACAAGAAAGGACAAGAAGCATGGTGGGAAATATTAATAGAGTTCCAAGTAATAAGCGTAAGAATGAATCTCTATATATAAAAATCAATTGCTGTCCGTTAGTCTCGCTAAAACTCAACGGTTAAACCAATTTTGATAAAAATTTTGTGTGTTTGAATGGGGCCCTAGATAGTTTAGATTCACATTGGGACCCAGTAGGTGGCGCTATTGTTGAGATCCAGAAATCAACCGTGCGAAGCCGGGGCGGATCGCTAGTTTTGAATAAAAAAAGGATTGAGTGAGCATGCTCCCCCAAATCCCACAAGGGTACAGCTACTGGAGTACGAAGGGAAAGAATTTGAGAGCGGTTCTTACTATTAGAAAGGCCTTAGACTAACTTAAAATCTGCGAACGTTATCATTCTGAAATATGAGAATGTTTCTATGTGATAGATTGCGCTTTCAATATTATGCGATCTCATAATGACATAATGTCTGCCGTTACAACTTTAACTTGGTACCCAGCGCGTAGCTGCCACAGAAAAAATAATTGTGGAAATATTGTTTTAAATTTGGAAGAGTTATATTAATTATTACGATAGGAATGATATTTTTTTTGGTAGGATACGCGCGTCATTCTACAATACCTTTGCGCGAGTGTAAACAATAAGTTGACAAAGATTTAGCGCAATCTAATGGACGGTATGGCAACGCATAAAATACGAACAAACTAATATTCATTTTCATACATTAAAAAAATATTTCTTTGTTTCAGCACGGCTAGCACGGGCTGGGGACAAAATATTTATCCCCCGATTATATCCACTGACAAGAGATAAAATTATCTTGTCCTTATGCCAAAGCACAGCAACGGGGAGATGTATATCCCCGTTTAACATAATGAGTAGCCATATATCTCCCGTCCGTAGCATGGAGTCAAATGAAAGAGAAAAAAATATGCTTTTTTGACATTTGAAAGGGACAATTTTATCCTAGTTCATTGGAAGTGAGTTTATGTTTATATTCCTACAAAAAATCTATCTATCTCCCATTTTATCTACTGTGGAGATTATATACACCGGTGTGCCTATGCTCGAAAGGTGGATAAAACTAAGCGGGGGGATAAACATTTTTTCCTTTCGCTGGGGATAAAATTGTCCCTGCAGGGATATAATTGTACAGTGTAATCAAACAATTAAAGCTAATAACAAAATAAAAAACAAGTAATATAAAGATGAAAGTTGATAATAGTAGAAAATGACAATAAATTATTTGTTAAAAATAAAAAATATTTACCTCTCTCCAAGGATCACCAGGTCTATGTAGCTCTTGGTACTGAATGGCGAAGGGTGCTTCGTTAATGATTAAGAAGAATGGTGTAAATATCACCATCTTCGTCAAGCTATTAAAAGTCAGCTGATTCGTAACTGCCACCTGCACAAATAAGTTTCAAAACTATCAGTTTTATACCTATTTTTAAAATTAATAACATAATTAACAATAATTCATTATTAAAATAACTAGTTCATATTAGAATGGTTCAACAGAAAAAGTATAGTAAAAATTTATTTATTTATTTATTTTAAAACATTGTACATGCTGGCTTACAGTATGCCCAAAACGTCAGCATGCTAATTTACAAATTACACTTTTAAATAATAAGTACCTAATTGATTAAGATACATGTCCAAATAAAAAATAAATAAAAAGTAGATATCAAATAGATAAAAAAAATAGATGCCAAATAGAAGATTATACTATGTCAAATAGAGTAAACAAAATATCATTTTCAAATTAACTAAGCTAAGATTAAATTAATATATTACAATATGTCAAAATTGAATGTCAAAAATAGAAGGGTTTTATTACATAGTTGCGTAAAGCTATCAGCAAATAAGTCAGTCTCGTAATCATGTGCGAGCATATCTCCAATAAGCCGTATAGCGCGAGTAGTGCGCACCTGGAGCGCGCCGGCGGCCGCCACAGAAGACGCGGCCGCCGCCGCGGTGCCACCGTCCCCTCACCATCACAGCCCAAACGCTTCGGAGCCAATAACCCCACTCTGCTTAATATCGTCGGGCTATCTATTTTATTATGGATGATTGCTAGGTAGAATGTTATCAATTGCATGGTCCGCCTAAGTTTAAGAGTGTCCAAACCCACCATACCAGTAACAAATAAGGACGGATACAGATAGGGGTAATAACCGTAATTCTGCTTATATAGCCATCGTGCAAATTTGCGCTGTATTCTCTCTATCATCAAAATATATTTCTCCTCATAGGGAAATTCTCAAAATGTCTTTGTTGTTTTAAAAAATATGAATTACTTTCGTTTAAAGGTGGAAAAGTATTCATTTGATTTCATAACTATGTGCACTAGGATAAAAAATCAGCAAATTTAAATTATGATTACTTACTTGGTATGTTCTGTCCTCATTCTTGCATATGACAACGCCAGAACTGCCAGGCACATCAAGAGAGAACTTGTCAGACCATTCCCCAAACTCCACTCTAATGGCCGCCTTTTTCTTACCGAAGAAATTCTTGGCTCGAAACGAAAATAATATTGGTTCCTTATAATCCTTAGGATGGAAGATGACATTTCCCGTTTCATCTGCGCTCTAAAATAAGAATAAAGGCATATAAAAAATCGACAATATATGAATAGGATAATAAAAAGGGTATTCTCATCTTACTTCAAATGTTTATTTAAATGTTAATGACTAAAGAACTCATTACACTCATTTTGTGTAGTAGAATGTTAAAGACAAATCATTATATTATTAGGTGTCTCATCCGACACTATTCCAATGATATCCCGGACGCCAGTCGAAGCGAGGTTAGAATCGCTCTCCAGAACCTTAAAACCGGAGGGCCTTAGATGGGATAGAATTAAAGGGGGTAGAAAACCAATAATTAAATCTTTCAACTCTTCAATTACGTCCTCATGGTGGCACTAATCCGCAGGTGTGAAGCAGAAGTGAAGGGCGGTGAAGAGAGAAAGGAAGAAGCGGTTGGCTTGTTCTTCAAGAAAGGCGACAAAGTTCTATTGAAAAATTACAGACCGATTTCCCTTCTAAATCGCGTCTACGTGCCGTCTTTGAGTCATTACGAATCGTCTCGCACAGACTTGAAGACTTCCAGCGTCCCGATCAAGCCGCTTTCCGAAAAAGCTGTAGTACTATATACTCGTCGGCGTACATACTCTTCGGCAAATTGTACAGAAGACCGAAGAGTACAATCTGGAACTTTGTTCTGCGCATGTGAACTATGAGAAAGCCTTTGATTTTTAATTTGGGCAATGCTACTATTCCTCAGTGGTGCCTAGTTGAAGTTAATATGGATCTGAGACCTAGTTCTTCATTACTGGCCGAATGAGGAAACTCAGTTCCGATCAGCGAGTTATGGAGACTGATATGCTCGGAGTTTCTCTGCGTGATAGACTTTATAATTAGAATATCTATACTAGCACCAGAATAACCGACATAGCTTAAGCCGATGTGGCAATGGGCCGGCCATGTAGCTCAAAGAATGGTAAACTGATGAACAAGAAAGAACAGAAGAAGGGTTCTCAGCAATTCCCTCACTAGATGGAGTGACGAGAGATGTAGGATGTAGATGGTTCAGGACCATGATTTGTGGTATGGTCCGTGTCCATGGACCGTGCCAAGGCACGGGAGGTCTATGTTCAGCAGTTTACTAATACTTAGCATATTTCCACACAATTAGTCGATATTTCAGGGCCTAAACTGAACTGTGTTCGATGTACCGATCCCCATGCAATGCCATCAACCATTTACCTAGTCAGTCAACGCTCACGATCGTCTTGCAGTGCACTGTACATGACCCTATTTCGGAAGAAACTGAGCTGTGATATGTATGTCATGCCAATCCGAAGACAATCGTAGCTTGCCGAATGAAAAATTAAATTACTTGTCAATTAAGCTCTAACATATATTTTGCTTGTCATTACATAAATCAATACAAGTATACGATCGCGCATGCATTGTCATGTTGTAAAACAATTTAGTCATGTTGTTTACATGCAACATGCATCATGCATATTTCAAATTTGAGTTAATATAACCAACTTTTTGACACACTATCCTGTCATAATATAAAATACCCGTACAGATACTTAATCTTACTATTTTTTTAATATGATACTAACATAATGATTTCTTATATTTACGCGAACACTACACATTGAATAAAACTATTTTTACGGATTTTATCGCGTTTAATTTACTTATTTTATATTCCCGACGTTTCGGTTGCTTTCCAGCAACCGTGGTCACGGGGGTCCCCCGTAAATTAAACGCGATAAAATCCGTAAAAATAGTTTTATTCAATGATACTAACAATAACAAAATGTTTGTATTTATTACAAAATTTCAACGAAAGAAATTCAATTATAATATATTCAAAATTTGATATTTTTACCACGTTTCCAGTTCTGAGCTATGTTTAAAGTTTCAAGTGTCTAGCTCATCAGGAATTTAGTTTAAAATTGATTGCAAACTTTGTACCGAACAGATTAACAAACAAACAAACAAGAAAATGAGTTTATATTGCATTGTCACCCAGTTCTGAGCTATATTTGAAGTTTAAAGTTTCTTTTAATATCGATTCTTGGACTTGTACCGAACAAACGAACAGAGAAAAAAATAGAGTTAATAAAAACGTGGTAAAATGGTATAATATGTACTAGTGCATGAAATAAAATTAGCGCTAAAATGGCGTTTGCACTCACCGAGCATGACGCGTGATGTTTTAAAAATTCACTGCAACGTGAACGTGCAATCTGTCAAAAAATTGTTTTAGCAGAGTCTAATGAGTGCATTCACCAAATAACTAACCTCACTTTGAACGTATAGAAACCTGATGAAAATCAGAATTACTCTAGAATAATACTCTATTTCTATTGTACCATGCCATGTAGAGTTCGTTCTATAACAATGTGCCATTTCGATACTGTGTTTTTTCTTGTCATTGATTTTATTTTAATACTCTTTTTACTTATAATCTCAATAAAGAGCACAAATAACTTCTGTATAATTTGTAGTGACAAAGCAGTTTTACAATAAAACTACGTATTTTTCTAACGCATTTCTTACTCCATTAATAAAAAATAATGCCGAAAAAAACAAATAGTATCAAGATAGCACAAATTGATAATGAAATACTATAAAGCAAAAAGAGGTTTGGAAAATTTATTATGGCTATGTAATACTGTAAAAAATGTTATAAGTAAGTTCGAAACCAAAAAAACCTTAAAACATCATTAATTTGGATGATTTTCGTTAATAGAGATTAAAACGAAGCATGAAGCAAACTGCAATAAAATCTATTATAAACAAAAAATGAACTGCCAAAATAAAATATAAAAAAATACGTTTGGAGCATGTTAAAGCATCTCAAAGATACCTTGCTGGGTGAGCTGGAGGCTTTTTCTGGTTTCTTTGATTTCTGTAACCACGGATTTTTGGAACCAATTAAACAAACACATTTCTATTATAGTATAAATACAGATGAAACAAACAAGACGCCATGTTTTAAATTTGGACATACACAAGAAACTGATAAAGTTAGTAGTAGTATAATTTTGGAAACTAATAAATTGAATCGAATCACAATTACCTGCATTCTTCATAGATAGAAATTATTGCAAATACAGGGAGTGCATTATATAGAATATTAAGAAAAATATTAAGTTTAACACAACTATTTAAAATAATAATATGAATCATTCATTTTATTAATAAAAATTCTTATATAATGCAATAAATTCAAAATCATAAAATATTAAATAAACTATTTAAAAAATATAAATGCAACTATTTTTTTCTGCACAATTCACTATTTTAATTTACAACAAGCGATCTGCCCCGGCTTCGCATGGGAGATATCTGAATCTCGACAGTAGCGCCACCTGGTCCAATTATAGAATAGCACCATCCAACCCCATAAGTACCCCATAAAAATTTGATCAAAATCGGTCAAGCCTCGGTCAAGTTTAGAAGAAGAATAACGAACCACACCACACCGGAATTTTATAATTAAAGATATATAGGATCGGGGAAAAAGTTTCTTCGTATTCATTTCATTATAATATATATGTGCCATTTTGTTTGATAACTTGTTGCCATCTTGTAGGTAATGACATAATCAAGTTGCTGTAGAAATCTTGGGATTTTTTATCAAAAAAATACGACAAGTAGTCTCGACAGTCCTCTCTTGATGTTAACCTAACAATACCCAAAGAATTCTGAAGAGACCGAAACAGGTGAAAATCTCAGGGTGCAAAGTCAGTACTATAATTATGGTAGATGCATTAACACTTCCCAATTTTCAATTTTCGCTGACTCTCTCAATTTTGCTTAGTGGCCTGGCGTTATCATTATGAAAGACCCTTTCTGTGGATAAATTCTGGCAGTTTTTTCTCAATTTCTTGCTTGAATCTAATTATTTAATTTTATTTATTTATTTGATTTTTTTAAAAACCTTACCCCCACACTAGGATTTTTTCCTGTATCGTGGCGGCAGTTTACAAACATAGATTACACGAAGACTAACATCTAGACCCGGAATTATTATTTGTAGGTTTTCGCGACTTGAGTCGCATTTTTCCCCTTTTTGTAATAAAACTTCAGTGTATCGAATTTATTTATTAGATTCTTTTTAGACTCATTTTGGCGGACAGAAAAAGAATTGAAAAATGGCAGGAAAGTTTTTTTTTTGTACTTTTTATTTTCCTTTTCTTAATGTCCTATAAGTATTGATATTAAAACCAGCCAGATACAAACAGTACAACCAAAGATATTTTTCTTCAATTTCATACAAACGAAATACGAAGAAACTTTTTCCTCAACATATTATTTTACGTTTCGATTATAACTTTTTAAATTATGAATATAAATTTGTAAATATAATATAATTTTTTTATCTTTTATGCACATTTGGATTTTACTATATTATTTAAATAGCAAAGCTTATTTATGAACAGAATGGCCAAGATGAAATTTATTTGAATACATAATTGAAGTGAAATAAATCCACTTTACTTACTCTATAGCACAATGTAAAACCAGTTTTGTTCAGCATCCAGAACGGGCAGTACAATGAGAGCACTTGTGTGCCCTCCATGTCCACACTGTGCATGCCCAAGTCCAACGTCATTACTGAGGGACTGTCGTGAGACTCAAATGACCACACAGATAATTCCGTTTCCTCATCTGGGAGATTTTTTGTACATACCCAGCATTTGTCAAGATAACTTTGTATCTGAAAAAAAGCATGCAAAATCACCTTCAGGAGTTCTTTATTTCTTTAATAGTAAATTTAATATTTTTTCTTTATAACAAAAGTTCTAGCAAAAATTTCATAAACTACATGGGCGTTTTTCTTACATGCTGTAGGAATGGGATGTATAATAATAATTGTTTTTTTTTAATATACCAATTTTTTAAATTGACACATTGGTATAAAATAATTTCTTCTAGCCTCATACAGATTTATAATTCCGAACCAATAAAACAAAAAAAGTGGAGCGCATGCAATGGATAATTGATTATAATAATAGTTCAACCCAGTAAGAGATGCAGAAAGTCGATGGATGCAGGTAGGTCTGGACCGTGCTTTGCGACATTCCTTGAGGGAAATCCATGTTCATTGATGTTCAATCACTATTTATATGACTACCTATTGAAGACTGCATCTCAATTGTAACTAGGAAGCTATAAAAATTCCCTCGTTCTGAACTCCCTAAAAACTAAGTATTTCACTGGCTTGATACACACGCCATCACTTGTAGTCTGAAACCGCGCTACGTTTAACTGTAGTTTTTATTTATGTGGTGTGTATAGTACCAGTGAATAAATGTCTTTATTTCCTCTTTCTTTCTACATGAGACTAGAAGAAATCATTACATACTTTGTGTCTGTTTTAAATACATGTTAGTTAAAAAAAAGATAGTGAGGTAATAAAAACATGTTAAAATGATATACTTTACTCACCATTACAACTATGGAGGCCCTGTTGGGAGCCAGATGTGACAAGTGGAACATCTCTCCAGGCTTAAATATCTGTGTTCTCTTTAGACCCAACTGCGATACAACAATGTCAATTGGCAAGGAGTTTTGCAACTTCACGGCCGGCTTCAGCACTATGTCGTAGCAGGATGAGGCAAAGGTGTGACGGTTTGTGTGCTCATAGTAAACTTGCTCCATTGTGCCCACAGCCTGATGGCATACATATGAAAATATCATTAGAACTACATTACAAATTATACACTACTACGGCTCTCCTTTTACAAGTTAACTAGAATGTGGAGGACTATTAGAGTACACCAGTGATAGAGAAGCTTACAGGGTGATCAGGGGTGAAAAAATAAAAATTGATGGTTCGACTAAGTAAACTAAATAGTCTCAGAATTCTTACCTTCAAATAGAACTTCTCTCCGCTGGTTTTGTCCTTGGAATCACATTGAAGCAACTTTGTAATCTTTACTTCTTGCTGCAACTCACGCCAAATAAATGGTGACACTGACACCGTGAAACCTGCAATCCGTCAAATATATTAAAATTATAAAATGAGATAAACCTTAAACAATAAAAAGATAATACAGTAAGACACGCTTAATACGATCATGTTTAATACGCCATCTGTGCACACCCGAGCCGAGTAGCACGCATAATTCTTTTCATTGATAACTGCCCTGCTCACCCATAAACTAATTTAAAATATATATATATATATATTTAAAAATATATTAATAAGATAATAACATCCTCCGGTCCGAATTTCGGTTACGACGGCCAGTCTCAACATAGACTAGCCATTTCCACAGGACAGGTTTATAGTATACGAATGCTGCACCCGTGGGGGGGGGGCACACCGCCAACTTGTTATAGACCTCATGATCAACAGTCACGACCACTAGATCAACGAGGTAATCCGTTGATCGTTAATTACATACATATTATTTACACTACTAATGGCTTAATACTCAAGCGCTACTCAATTTCAAGAAGGCACTCGAGAACAGTGGGGAAGCACTTGCTGTTTCCCTTGATGTCTCGAAGGTCTTTGATAGAGTTTGACACACTAGCCTTTTGGGTAAGCTTCCAGCGTACGGCTTATCCCCTGGTCTGATTGAATGGGTAAACTTTCTGAGTGAACGGTCTCTCCGGGTCGTCGTCGATGGCTGCTCAGTCGATCCTATGGCGACTAACGCCGGTGTTCCTCAGGGGTCCGTTCTCTCCGCAACTCTCTTCCTGCTGCATATTAATGATCTGCTTATGCCCGGTATCTATGGGTATGCAGACGATAGCACTGTTGTGGAGAGATACCAAACAAGTCCTCAGGCCAGTCGGGATCACATCTAGTCCGAAAGAGAAGCTACGGTAGAGCGTGTGAATCTCACACTACAGGCAGTCTCCGATTGGGGCGATGCCCATTTTATGAAATTCAACGCCTCCAAAACACAAGCGTGTCTCTTCATTGCAAAAAGGAGCTAGCTCACCTTGGCTCCTTCTTTCCAAAATGTATCACTGGAATATACCGACCGCCTTCAGTTGTTAGGGTTTGAGATATCCTCAAATCTGAACTTCGGGCGGTTCATTGAGTCCAAGGCCAAAGCAGCTGCAAGGAAGCTTGCAAAGGTGCGGCGATACTTCACGCCAGGACAGTTGCTTACTTTATATAAAGCGCAAGTCCGGTCGTGCATGGAGTATTGCTGCCCCATAGATAGATAGATAACTCTTTATTGCATTCATACTAAGTGGTGACAATTACGGAAAACTTATGAACTACAGACGGTGGTCATATCGCTTTAAGCGATTTCTACCAGACAAACCGAACGTAAAAGGGACAATGTAATATATTTTGACGGATAGGTGCAACGTGCAATATAAAATAAAACTGAGGGCAAAATGCTATTATTAAATAAGATTTATATAAATATATGAATTATATAATAATATAATATTATAATATTTAATGAACGTATATAAATAAATATTTATACATACATATACATATATATGCATAGAAAATTAAAGAAAAAATGAATATTAATAAAAAGAGGAAATACATATTATAATTTATTATTATGACGGGAAATTCAAATAATACTCCTTCAGTTGTTTTTAAAAGTCTGTAAAGATTGCGCTTGCTGGATGTTAATCGGTAATGAATTCCAGAGTCGGGTTGCTTGTGAAGTAAATGATTTATTATAAAAAGAAGTTACGCCGCAAGGAGTATTCAAAGCCGAGCTATACATTGAACGCAAACTACGATCATATATGGGCTGCTAGGTAGCATTTTGCAGCACCAGCCCATATATGGGCAAAATACCACTTAGCAGATTTGGACTCAATGGAAAGGCTTGCTAAGAAGCATAATGGTGGCCCAATTTTGGTTAAATCCAATCTTAACAGTCTCGAAGACAGACGCGAAGTAGCCAGTCTTTCGGTTTTCTACAGGATGCATTTTGGAGTGTACGCAAGAATTGCATTATTTAATTCCTCCCTCTCCCTTCCACCATCGGACACCTAGACGTTCGGTCAGTCTCCACCCTTTCGTTGTCGACTTACCACCCATTCGAACCAAACGGTTCGCTACGTCGTTCATCATGCGTACAGCAAAGGAGTGGAATAAGTTGCCAGCATCTGTCTTTCTTTCGTTACAGTGTTGGTGTCTTCAAGGCAAGAGTGAATAGGCTTTTGTTAAACCCGTGCGCTTCACCATCTTAGGCTACATCACCACTTAACATCAGGTTGGATCGTAGATAAGCGCTGGCTTAGTAAAATATGAAAAAAACATATCGATAAGTTTCGTAAAAGTTATGCAGTACGCATCACTTTTACTTTCAAGATAGAGACAGCACGATACTTAACGGCATCTTAACCACTTGAGCCATTTATAAAACCACCAAATTAGTTAGATCTACGATCAAGCCAAAGAGTATAGTAGGTCAGACCAAAGACAATTTTTATTAAATGAAGGTAAATATAACTTAAGAGTCATTACTAAGTTCTTATCCAAATATAAATAATAATATAAAAATTAATAATAATAATATAATATTATTAGTGAAAAAAACACATGTTTATAACCTATAACAACAAAGTTATTTTTGCTTTGTCATCCAACAAGACCCGTGTCTGCGCAATAACAGCGACATCTATTTTCAATCATCAAAACCACTTGCCACGCTCAAAGACATCGATCGATTTTTCGATTAGTTAGTTATTGAGTTAGCGGAGATATGTATTAATTAGTACTGTGGAGTTTCCGTAGAGGGCGTTAACTGTACGGACGCTGCAGAACGATTGTGTTGAGTTGTTGATATAGTTTTATAAGGCACCAAAATGTCAGAAATAGAGAAACTACTAAAGGAATTGAGAGTTGACATAAAAAAAGACTCTGAATGACTTCTTGTGCAGCTAAACAGTGTTCTAATAATTCAAGAAATAAAAATAAGATACACGGGATTACTTACCACTCATAATTATAGCTAAAAATTTTATTTTGTTGAAAATTATAATGATGTTTATTGTTGACTTCGCCATGTTTGTGAGAGCGAGATAGATAATACAAACATGCGCGAAAGACACGATACGCGATTAACTAACGCGATTTCGCTCGCACAACTACGACGTTTCCTATCTCTGTCCTTGTCTATCGGTAAATTTAATTTTGTGATTATGATAACAGATGTGTGTGAACATTCCGTTTTCTTCACACTGCTTGTTTCGACGGCTATCTCTCTTTCTGCACGTGTTCGACTCTGGAAGTGGGCGGTGTTTTGTAAAAGTAAGCTCTATTACAATGCTTATAGATATGAAAAATGCATGTCAATATATGTAGCCAGATTTTTGAATTTTGTTGACATTATTTTTTTAGTCTCCATTGAAATGCGCTTTGCATAGTTCAAGTTAAACGTATTTAGTAGTTTTCTAAGTTGAGAGATTATCTAAAATATAATTATTCATAGTATTAAGTTCTAAGTGTTAATAGTGAATAGTATAAACAGGAATAGTGGTACTTAGGTATTTAAGTGGTCGCATAGTGTAAATATTAACTATGTTGGCGTCGGCCCGTAAAAACAGTAGAGTGATATGGCACCATTTTGAATAAGACAATAAAACTTTTAAGCAACGTGTAATGAACGTAAGGATGTATTAAGTTATAAGTCGTCCACCGCCAATTTAAAAAATCATCTGTGAAAAAACATCCTTCGGTTTATATATCGGTTGTTCGGAGCTGATGATGACCAATCCGGTCATTCATCCCGACCAACGACACGTTTAGATGTAAACAAAACAGCGAAGTAATAACGGCGTTTTGTCTTAGCTCAGGTTGTTTTTTAACCCTTCTAATATTTTTTTCCGAAATATAAGAATTTCACCCAACCTAGGTGATCAGTCAGTGTACCGTACAAGGTAGATATAAGTTAGATGAATAACTAATTTTATTTCTAGAAAATTGTATTGATGTCCAACGTCCACGACAGCGAAATATGATAGTAGGTACGAACGGGACATATTATGCAAAAATACCGATACGAGTACAAAAATAAACATAAATCAAAATATTTATCCTTGTACTGACTAATTTAGTTACCATTAAACAAATACAGCAATTGTTAATGGAATATTTTCCTACAAATTATTGTGTGTATTTTATTTAATTCTGACCTAGAGATCATGAGTGAATTCATGCTATGCCAGGAAGTTGTCGAGTTCCCACTAACCCTGTATAATATGGTTTTTAACGGGAGAGTAAATTAATTTGATTTTTGTGTTTGATTAATAAACATCGTTTCATAAATTCGTACCTATGTTTTATTGAGCTAAAACATACCTTATAATTATCGCTTACCTAAAATTTACAAATACTTACATAATCAAATTAATAACTTAAGTATAATAACGCATAAGCGTCAATTTTACGCTTGGCATAATGGGCATTGAGCGATACGCGCGCTCTATACCTTGCTTATTTGTACTCTAAGTTCTGAATACTCTTTATCTATTGTTCTAAGGGGTACCTTAATTAAATTAAATTATTATATACTCTTTGGAGGAGTTCTTAGTAATAAATCCATTTGGATTTTTCGGGTTTTGAAGACTTAAAATTGAGCAGCGTTTGAGTATTTGGGCATAAGAGGATTTTTTCACTGGCCGACATGATATCAATAAATCGTCGCCGATACACGCTCACCAATATCGGGGCACTGAAGTAAATGGAGTGACATAATTATGATGCTTTTTATTGACCGACACAACACTAATATATCGTTGCCGATAGGTTATCGGTGACGAATTATTGCTATCACGATATCACTTTCTCCTGTTGTAATTTTTTTCGAATTTCATTTGTCTTTACGTATATAATAGATCGCGTAGATGATACATGATTGCGCGTATAAAATCGATGGCACAGCAAGTATATAATTAAGCTCCTTCAATGTGTTTCACTTATAGCAATGGCGGGATCGCGGAACAGGAAGAATTTCAAATTATTGCAATTCATACAAATGTGAACTTTAAAAACTTGAGAATAAACTCGGTTTTCGAATCACAAATACTGTTCAAAAGGTTCTAAAACTATATTAGTTGCAATAGAAATAAAACTTTTTATAATGGGAATTAAGTTTAAAAATGCAAAGCAATAAAAATTCCTGCTCCGCGACCGTGCTTTAGTGGATGACGAAAATTGTTTTACAATTTTTTGTACGACGAAGTAGATATAATAAATATAAATTATTGTCTACCCATAGACTTAGGATAGTAATAGACGGACATAGTGTGCAAGTGAGAAGAAAATTCCTTATGGCAATACAGCAAGATATAAAAGAATAGCAAATACTTTATAACAGATTTTGAATGACAGGTCGGCACAATTCGGCAGGCAATAAATAAGCTCCTAGATATTTTGTAATTTTTATAGTATTATACTATTATTTTTATTAAGTAATTATTGTTTTCCAAATTGGTTACTTGTTCTGTGAGTGACTGTGGTATTAATAAAATAAATAATCCTGATAATTGCACATTTTACAGGTAAATTCTCAAACCTTGGTCAATAATAAGGCGCGTTTATTTTTGAGTTAAAATTTGTTATATACTGTTTAAAATATTATATATTATTACATTCAAATTTATGATATATTATATATATCATAAATTTGAACTTTAACATAAACAGTATATAAACAGTAGATAGTCGGTGTTAATTTATTGATATCGATATCGGCTAATAAAAAATAAACGCTCATAATCATAACATTTTTCAACAATATCTGTTAATATATATTTTTGGGGAAGAAATAGAGTGACAGATTCACTTAAGGTGCATTTGGGCTGCGACGCTGCGAGTTATAGATTCGTTTCGTGACAGAATCTGTATTGTAGATATCCATAGATGAACCAGAATAAACAACAAAGCCGAACTTGAATTGATTGAAGTAATTTGAACTGAAAACCAAGACTTTTCTCACACGTAGTCCCAGATTTTTTGTACAAGTAAGGAGCTGATAGAAGAAATAAAGATAGAATAGAAGAAATAAAGATAGAAAAATAAAGAGAGAAAAAAAATAAAAGATAGACAGGACTGTTAACTTAGGAATAAGTGCATGCTGCGGTCTAAGGCATCTTACCTCGATTAAGGATCGGATGCAGATGTGTTGTCACCCCTGAGGTCTAAGTTGAAACGCCTCGTAACTATTGCTATTAAAATATTTTACAGTGGTATTTAAGCTTTTATCCACCCGCCACGAGGATATTAATGGCAATTAAAACCAATAAATATCACAATAATTATACAAACCTTCAACTGAGAAGAATATCTCAGCAGTTGGTGTATGGACAGCTTGCAGGGGCAAGCGTAGAATTCGGCCAGGCTTGACTTCCCCTAATAAGCCCACCTCATTACCGCTCGCGGTCATATAGTATACGGAAACGTTTACCGCGAGCGTATTTGTTACCTGTAAAAGAAAAAATCACTAGAAACTATGTTTACAATCTAAATCCATGCCCACTTTATTCCTGGTCAGTTTGATCACAGCTATATCGATAACAATCCAAAGCAGTTGAATTACTAAAAGCTAAAACCCATAACTTTCAATTTGAAACCTCAAATGATTATTTATAGACACAACAATTAATGAATATATAGACAGTAAAATATCAAAATGATACCACAGTTTAAAGACCTTATAGTTGAGAAACGAATCTACTTATGCAGATCAACGGTGGGGGTACTGCGGGGCACGGGGCGGGCCGTTCTTATTCTAGCGCACTTCACCGATTCTGATAGACAATACATGCGGTTGGTGCGAGCTTGTTTTATAGTACTTATTTAAGTAATTTTAAGTGCCGTTTTCGAAAAATATAATATCAAGAATGCTGAATTACTGTTAGTTATATGAGTTACTAAGTAAAGATTACGACCATGCTTGTTTCCCCGCATTTTTTTTTGTTGATAATATGTGTATCCGAATGCGAATACATTACATAATAAAATTTGACAATCGAAAACTGAAAATATCTATAAAAAGAAAGTGTTACGAAAATATTTGGCAGCGCAATATTTGTAAATGTGTTATTTTTTTATAGGATAAGAGTGACAAACGAGCACACAGTCCACCTGATGGTAAGTGGTTACTGCGGCCCATAGACATCTACATCAATCCTCTATTACAAATCAAAATGCAGATGCGTTGTCACCCGTGAGGACTAAGATGGAATGCCTCATTTCCAGTAAAAAGGGTCTCCGGGTCTCTACCCTCACCATACGAAACACATCAGCGTTAAGCTGGTATTCTGCGAGAGCGTGGTCTTTTCCCGGTCGAGCCGACCCATTCGTGCTACAACTCTACTACAAATATGGCTGCAGCATGGCTCTACCACGTACAAGAATTATTTCTTGTAGTAATAAAAATGATCTTGTTCAGTAAATGTTTTTAACTTATAAGTACGTAGATAAGGTTAATAAATGATAATCAGTAATACAAAATCATTTTATTTCTATTTTCGTGACAACCCCTAGCATACACGCTGGCCGCGTAAATAACTACGCGCGCAGCGGCATCGCCGGACATCAAAAGGCATTTCATAACTGTAAGTCCTTAAAACAGTGATGATACTTTATTACATTTGATATATTTTTAATTGCTTTTCAAGTCTTGCACTGGTATGCGAGGATTTGTCGCTTATCAAATCTGATGTAATGGATCTTCAGGTTCATTTTGAGTACAAAGCATTCTGAATCTAGGTGTCTGTGGGCCACAGCATCAATTTACCATTAGGTGGATTGTGTGCTCGTTTATCAGTCTTACTTCGAGAATAAAAAACAATACGTAGTAATAATAATATTTAGCATAAACTATAGATAAGTAAAATAGATGTAATAAAGTGCTAAGAATAATACAAATAAAATTTTCGGACTCGTATGAACGAGTATTTGCTATGGAATCCTATATATACATAAATCCTAAATAAAACTGAATCTCTGCTCAATAAGTGTGTTCTGTATGAGCCGAATAGATAATTACTTAAGCGACAAAGGTTACCTGCACGACACTGCGCAGGTATATATGCAGCGCAGCATCTTGCATGAGGACGTCGGAAATGAGTCCGCGCGGCTCTACGGCGGCGGCGTGTGGAACGTTTTTCTCCAGAGTGCCACCCGCTTGTCTTCTTCCCAGTGTGAAATACCGTTTATCTGCACGTTCGACTGGTATTACCACCTCTTCATCCAATTCTACAATCTGCAAATTACACGTTAATTACAAAACTTCCTTTTTTTATGTCGATAAGACTGTTGAATTCGTTTCTGTCCAGATGCAGCAGTGCAGCTGAGTTTCGGTTTGAAATATAGAAGTCATTATTATTATTATATGCATGTAAAAAATAATAATGATTTTTATTGTTATTATATATTATACATAAATCATTATATTTTAGTTCTCGGAGGTTGAACGCATGTTGTTAACTGTTATAAAGGTGCCTGTACATTAAAAAATATTGATATAAGTTTAAAGCGTAGTACATACATAACAAATAAAGTGCATAAAAATGCCAAAACAAACTTACCTTAACAGTTAGCTTCAGTGGTGGCGGTGGCTCATTCAATTTCATCAAATTGAGTCCACCATGCTTCAGCTGCAATGGAACACATGCGCCTGGCTCTAAAACAACTTCCCTGTAATAAAAAAGTTAATATTTGGCAACAGAGTCACAAAAAAAACTTAACGCAGACATCCGATTCATATATGAGATTACCTATAATCATTGGATTTGTATTCGTCAGTAAGAAACACGGAGAAATCGTCGTTATTCTGCAGCAGCAACTTGGTGGTCAGACCGATGCAGTTGTGAAGTACGTATGGTGCGCCCAAGAATTCTTTGTTTGAGCTCTAAAATTATATATGTATTGTGGTGTAAATAGACTAAAACAAATAATATATTCAAAAATGTAACATAGTAAAAATACGTACGTCTTCAGTCCTCGACTTTGATACGAGAGTGGTATCAGTTTCCGTAGCCACGGCAGCCGCGAATGAGTTGCCTAGTTGCGTCAATACCTAAAATAAATATTAAATATTATTTTGTGAAATATCAAAGATATGGCATAATATCAAAGTGTACGAAACGCAGGTATAATATAAGTAGAGGGCAAGCTCGCAGCTAAATCAAACGTGTGAAATTGTTTGTGTGTTCACGTCGAATAATATACGGATAAAATACGTAACGAGGATGCCTGCAGCCAGCAGAAGAACAAGAATAACCCAGCGGATCGGTAAGCTGCAGTAACAATTAGCCAGCCATATAGCTCGAAAAATCGACAACCGATGGGAAAAAGGTCCTCGGGTGGCAATCTCGTACTGACAATCGCAGTGTTGAGCGACTCCCTATTTGATGGCGTAACAACCTGATGAAATACGCAGGTGTATGGATCCCCCCCCCCTCCCCCCATATGGGTTCTCCTGCCTTGTCGTGGCGGGGCGCCTTAATAGCCTTAGAGCTTCATAGTAGGTTTGGTCACCCACGGCAACAAACAGGAACCCACTTGGTTGGAGGCCGCAGAGGAAGGCGCGCCTAGTGTTCTGGTGCGCCTTAATGAGAAGAAGGGGGGAGGAGTTGTCCTATCCCGAGAATTGGCCTAATTTAAAAAATGACTATTTTCTTTTCTATTACTTTTTCAAAACATTTTTTACCAATCCTTTTATGATATACTAGCTGGTACCCGGTACACCGTAAATTTGTCGGTACGATACGCGCGCCACCTTCTTGTTAGTGCTCAATAATTAACATAATTCTGATTAACGGTATGACAGCGCATAAAATACGAACAAAGAAATATTTTTACATAATGATTTCTTATATTTACGCGAACATACACATTTAAATAAAACTAATTTTACGGATTTTGTCGCGTATATTAACTTATTTTATATTCCCGACGTTTCGGGTGCTGGAACTAGTTTTATTTAAATATTTTTACATATTATATTAGATTTAGCTAACCAGCCAAGCTTCGTCTGGATAGGATCTATTCATTTCGTATTATTTAGATTATAGGATCTATTCATTTGTTTTATCTATATTACATTTTTTTTAAAATCTTCAAGTTTGTCGCCTAAAATATAGTCTAAATCCCTCCTGGCATTACTCTGTTTCTGCTCGTGAAGTTTCATCACAATCGGTTGAGCCATTCCGAAGATTATCCCAGACAGACAAACAATTTTTTTTAAATTCGTTTTATTTATGTCTTAATAGCATGTATAGAACCTCTTTAGCTTAATATAAGTGGTTTCGATATTACATACAAACACTTCAATTTTAATTATATGTTTTATTTACATATATAAATACATATAAATTTTTAATTCTACTTTCTGTACGTCAAGCGTAACACCTAACCTAATGCGGATAACATACCTCCATTCCACTTCTGGTGATGGTGATTTCAAGTGGTTCACTGCTTGAAATGGTGATAGTTTTGTTTGCGTGCCTGTGTGCGACGGCATGCAGAGTTGTCACCTCGTCGGTTGTGTCGATTTGAGCGTTGGTGTCTTGTGGTTTCATTACGACCTAAAACAATTATATTTTTATATTAAATAGATTTTTATGACACATCACACATTGATCATGGTTAATCTAATGCATTATCCTGCTGTTTCGCGCTGGCATTTCGTGGGAGCGTGGTCCTACCCCAATCGATACAACGCATTCGTACTGCCATCATAATATAGCTGCAGCATGCTCCTACCACTTTCTTGTTACAATCTTCGTTATTTTAAATGTCATGTAGTATACTAGATAGTCGCGCTAAACTAGAAGGACATTCTCTGTACAGAGTTATCATTGCACAATGCCATACGTTCATCTTTTTAAATATTTAACAAGTACCTGGCTCTGTCCTACGTAGTTATTGTTACGAGCTTAGGGTTAGAGACAATTAAAAAAACTGACACTTTAATAAAAAATTTAAATAATAAATTACCAAAATTGACACTTTAATTACAGAACACTAATTACAACTTAAAACCACACTAATAATGAAACACAATTGTACTACTGATCACTTTAGTTCGCAGTTGTATTGCTTCGAAGTATTCGCTTGTATGGCCAATTCAATATTGCCCCGGTCGCGGTCTATACCGGCCTTATATAGGGCCTCAGGTAGTTTCCAGGACCTTCTACTATAGAAACTTCTAGAATGTTCGAGTACATATCGGTCCCGATTGACTAGGTGACGATAGTTCTAGAAAGTTCTTCCATGGAAATTTCTAGAAAGATCTTGACTCTCCTAGTTCTGCTACTCGATACTAGAGGGTGCTAGTGGTAACTAGTGTTGCCATGTACCTTCCATTAATAGTAGCGCGCAACATTATTTATAAATTATTAAAGTAGTTCCTAGTTTATTATAAGTTTATGTATACTTTATAATATGTTGTCTATTTTATATAGAGACAAGCTACAAAGCTCCAGCTAATTGAGCACTAAATTAAAATATTGCCCATTTTATTTCCAACAAATTGTCATTAGTTTGACAGTTATAATGTTACATTTCAATTTGTTAACCTAATTAAATACTTAGTTTTGGAAAGTTAAAACATAATTAAATAACAAAATGCTTAAAATAACATCACTTTTCTAGAGAATATTAATTCTTATCGAAAATAAAATGTATCATGGAGAGTTCATTAATGTGTACCTCCATCTTTAGCTCCCAGGGTATGTGTTTATACTGGGAATCCTTGAGCACTTCAACAGGCTCTATAAGTGGCTCCCACATGGCGCGCCCGATGTTGTAGTACGACACCTGCATCGCCCACGTAGACTCCACGTACAGCTGGAAATTACGACATTACTAGCGATCTACATTAGAAATTTGTTTTTAGGATTCCTGTTGGAATTGCTGCAATAAAACGCTATAGTAAATAAAACATTATTATATTATGTGCGGGTCGTGGCTGTGTAATAGAACCATCACCACATTTCGTACCATGGGTGTCGTAACCGGTCGCCGAGCACAAAGAATTTCGCACAATGACTTTTGAACCTTCTGTTAGTGTTCAAAAGCATTTTAAGATAAAGTTTAGATTTTATATTTTAAAAATTGGTATCCGCCTATTTCGATATGCCCAAAATATCGGTTGTTTTGTACTTCATATTTGTATTGAAGGATATTTATCAAAAAGGCCAGGTTTTCTTGTGCTTCTCACTTTCAGTAAAGTGAGACGTTTCTTGTTTCTTCAGCGGAGATACAAAACCTGAATGGACGTCAGGTAGACGGAACTGATTTTATTTTATACCAAGAAAAATAACGTAAAACACAGCAAACTTAACCTCATAAACTATTCAAACTAATCCGAAAACTAAATAATGAAAAGCACATCGTAATACGGCATATCGTTAAAACTAATTTATTAATGAATAACAATTTCAAGGCAAACCAAAAAACACGTTCTCAAGAACAAGTCTAATTATTATGCCTGAAAGGCTTGCAATATCTGATGATAGTGGTCATCGCTTATGTGCGAGGGCGTCGGTAATGCGCAAATTACGGAGACAAGTAATGACTAGTCATTGCACAAAATTCTTCGTGCTCTGCGACCCAATTATATCAGAAAACTAACTGTAACAATATATTATTAGAATAATTTTAAATTAACCGTCATCGCCACTACACGTTTAATTTTTATTAATGTAGTGGCTGTGTAAGAATATCTACTACCCCATATCGTGCCGTAAGTAATGTAAGAGACGATAGAGGGAAACAAACTAAAAAACACGTTTTTTTTTATAGGATATAGTGACAAACAAGAGTGGTAACTCTAACTCGCCTGCCAAGTTTAGCAACTATGGCAAATATTACTCCTATTAGGCAATATATGTATCACAATATAACACATGCAGTGGACTTTGATAGGCTGTAAAGGTAATTTTAAATTCACTATTGAATTACAACAACAAGCACATTATATTATTATTATATTATATATACTTTATTGTACACCACGAATACGATTTAAAAAAAAAAGATTACAGGGAGTAAAATTTAAGAGGTAGGTACAATAAGGCGGTCTTAAAAAAGATTTATTCTAGAAAACCTTACGATTAGGAGAAAATTTGCGAGGTGGTGTGTATATTACAGTAAACTTTCATACTAAACCGATATATAATAACAAAATACAGTACAACCTTAGTATAACGAACCGCAATATAATGATTACCTCGATTTAACAAATTCTTAGAAATCCCCTAGAACTGACCGTACGAGTTAAGAGGCTACTCCATGCGAACGGCCTTGAGCATTCAGTCAGCCGCCGACTCGCTACAATATATCGCGTAAGAAATATGCAAGACGCCACCTACTGTACGAACGTAATATTATTTTTTCAACATCAATAAACTATTTTATGGAAATACACACGGCGTACAACGATAAATGAAGTTTAATTTTTTTATTCGGTATATAAGTTGCATTATATTAGAATTATGTATTCTCATATATTATCTAATTATAAAATTTTATAATTAATTATATATTAAAAATGTAGCACTGAAAATTGTGATTTTAAAAGATACCTACTCACTATAGGTAAATAGATAGATAGCTCGCCTTTTGTAAAAATATTTGTTGCAATAAAGAATAAATAAATAGATAGGATGTTTCTCAGATGTGTTTTTGATTATTGTTAATTTTTACGTGTCAAGTATTGAAAAGTAACATACCTACCTACTAATTTTTGAACTGAGCACCTTGTAAGTTAGCCTGCTTATTACTTATGCTGGCTGACATTATCCTCACCCCAATTATTGATGGGGATGAAAAAAAAACGTTTGTTTTTATTTTTATTCAATTTTATTTCTACATACGTAATTATATTGCATGCTTTAAGCGAAAGCGCAAGGTATGTTTTACTATTCTTCTCTTTCTATTCTTACTAGTCTTATCGAATGAAATTGTATCTAGCAATCATATTATACATATAAATAATGATATAAAAAGCATATTGTTAGAAAGATAAATGATTGTTGAACTTATTAATATATTTTTTTAATCGATTAATTGCTATTTTTAAATAAAAAAGGGGTTTTAGTGGCTTATGGTGTGGATTTATCAAGTGCGCAAGGCTTGTAAACACGATAACTTTTAAAAATATCAATTGTTTAACACTAGCAAGGCGGCAAGGGTCTTTTGACCCCTATTTGAACTTGCAGCGCTGATTATTTTCTCACTGTTTGTTTATACAGTTTTGTACTTCATGATTTTTAATGAATTACGATTGTTTTATAAACAAAAGTATTTACATTGTAATATGTTTATACAAATATGAATAAAAATAACATTTACATACAATGACGGCTAGGGTCATTTGACCTATTCAATAGATGAATGCATTGCTGTTGTGAGTGGGTTAATTATATTTACTTTAATTTTTTTGCCTGATCTTGTTTCACATACCTAAATATTTTAGTTTATACGTTTATTACTATACGCTTTCTCATTGAGTCAATTTCATTATTTTGGTTGATATTTCGTGAAAATGTCTCATCGTATCAGTAATGCAGAAATATTGACATTGTTGCAATCGTTGCCAGAAGATCAATCGGATAGTTAAGTGGAAGGTGTCGCATTACCACCAGAAATTGAAGATAGCAAGTCATATATTCCTGCGTCTGCTGAGTCAAGTTCTAGTGATGATTCAGATAGCAACATACCGTTGACTACCATTCAACAACAAACTAAGGGAAGATCGTCTCGGCGATGAAGAGTACGTGGCGTTCAAACATCATTTTATGGAAATACCTCTCAAAATAATATGATGCCAGGTGGAATATTGTGGAAATCCATATTTAAAAAAGGCTCAGAGGTGGCAGATTGAAGAGGAAGGCATAATGTTTTGTTATTGAGTACATTGCATGATAGTGTTCATATACACAGCGGCGATATTAAGAAAAAATCTGAAACTGTTATGTTTTACAATCCAACTAAATATGGTGTTGACGTGGTCGATCAAATGGCGAGAAGATACAGCACAAAAGCATCTTCTAGAAGATGGCCGGTACAAGTATTTTATAATATTTTAGATTTATCTGCAATAAATGTCTGGGTGTTGTACCAAGAAATAAACAACAAGAAAATGCGAAGAAGAGAGTTTATTCTGCAATTGGCGGTTGAACTGAGTGACATTTTAGAAGAACCCACTCGTGAAACCTCACTGTAACGTTCTATCGCCTCAGAAATGCCAGCATCTGAGTTGAGGAAGAGGCGTAATTGCTATCAAACTCATAGTAAAAATAAAACTAATAAAGTGTGTGACTTGTGCAAAAAACCACTATGTGGCAGATGTAATCTATCTAAAATATTCAGATGTCATAACTGTAAATAACTATTTATTAAAGATATATTAAAGACTAGGTAACATAATTCAAGACTAGGTAACAGTGATAGGGTCAAATGACCCTTGACCGCCTTTGTAGGTTAGCTGTTTTTTCCCGTCTTGCTAGTGTTAACTCAATCTATTTTTTAATCTCTTCATCTATCATGTGGGAAGCCACTGAATGTAAATGGCAGTGTAATTTTGTTTTGTTTAGCTATAATTAATTTTTTTCAGCTCCAAAATGGCGAAATTTTCTTTGATTTGGTAGCCTTGTATGTAAAATATTTCTGTAAATAAGAGGAAGCCGCACTCTGAGCTACAGCCAGAGTACTTTACTCACTCACTCAAATCGGTGTCAGACGCCGTCGTGAGTGGACATTGTTTCGGTTGTTTGCAGCGGCTCAAAAAGATCGCTCGCTGTACAAATACACAATATTGGAATAACCAAATTTCTTAGACTTGATTATAATAATAATGAGAGATTTTTTTATTACAATATTTTAAAAGCACATAATAAATAATAGTAGTACGTACTAAAAGTAAGTAGTATAAATTTTTTTGTCATGGGTGTCACTTTCATGGGTTTCGAGGGTGTTGAAGCCGATAGTACTGTCGAAATGTAAATCCAAGATGGCGGCTGAAGTAGGTACCAATTTTTTCATCATGGGTGTCATTTTCATGGTTTTCGAGGGTGTTGAAGCCGATAGTGCTATCGAAATGTATTTAAACTACTTTAAAAAATTCCGTATAATCATGTTATACGTAATTTTTTTAATGCGCTTAAGGCATGCCCAATTGGATTTACCAATTTTTATTTATAGATAAGAGTAAATTTAATAAAGGTAATACAAAAATCAACAAGAGGTATAAGGGTTATAGGTTAAGTGAAGTATAAACCTCTTTATAACGATTTTTAATAATTGCAGAATACAAATAGAAAGAACAATTAACCTCTGCATAACGTATTCTACCAATCCATCTAACAAGAATTCGTCTCTACAGGTGACAGACATATTTAAATTATCGTAAGACAATCGAGGAATTTAAACTATCATAATAAATTAATGTTTAGTGTTCAAAGGGCATTCATTACAATGTGTTTTACATTTATTTTAAGTTTGCTTACCTTGCTATAACGACTCTTAGACCAACCTAACCTCTATGTAACAAACCTTATTGTAACAAATTACTTGGTGTAACGAATATTTTCCAATCTCCTCCACGTTTGTTATATCAAGGTTATACTGTATATACAATAAAGATATGATAGACATACATAAGATTATATAGGCAAATATACATAAAATTTACATAAATAAATATAGAAATGATACAAAATTAAAAGTCGCAAATTATGAATAGTGATTATTAATATTCTGCCAGTGAAATAAAAACACAGACATTTGAAGTATTTAGATTCAATGTGTAAGCAATCTATCGTTTCTGTAATGGTACATGTTCGCGCTCAACGCTGTCAAGAATCGACGCCAGATGTCACTCGGCTCGGCGCGATACCGGTTTGACTTTCGGTCGTGCGAAAAACGCCCAAGGGCAGTCAGTCGTCCTTAGGCAGTGCTCACGATTGGCACGCTGCCAATTAAGCGCGGGAACTCGGAATAATTAAGCGCGGACAGTAAAAATACGGTCTAGGAATTTTGTGGCGCGTATTCCTACTGGAGAGCTTCCCCGGGACTTATTGGGTCCGACTCAGAATCTTTATAAGTGCATTCGACAATATTAGCTAGTGCGGCCTCTGTATTCTAGAACTAACTATTGCAACGCGAAACGGTAGTGACCTTTGATCCAGAAACTCCGTGGGTGTTTTGTGAGGTAACCTTATACCCCGCGATAGTTAGTGGCTTCTGTAAACTAGTTAATCGTACGATAGAGTTAAGTGACTGTCATCGTGACGAACAAGAAGAAAGTGACTGTGGTCCGGCGCCGAAGCAGTCTGAAGCAGTGTGGCAGCATTTTGGAGCAGCCTGGAACTCGGCAGCAGCTGGTCGCCTATGCTTGACAAGGCCCCACACATTCACCCCTCACTGTACACTACTCTCCATCCACTATTACACACACTCACGGCCTGCCCAAGCCTTGGTGCGAAGTTAGCTTCGGATAATGGTAAGTACTATGTCCTTCTAACGTCCTCCCATCTGGTTTATTGTAATTAGGAATTTCCACGTGGCCACATTGAGGCCCGACCTACGTCTGTTCGGGAAGTCTTCTGCTCATGGGCCCCAGAGGATTGGATCCTTTAAGGGAGCAGCCGTAGGCCGTAACAGTACATATAATGTAACTTATTCATTAAACTTAACGCTAATTTAAAATTTCCAAAGTAGTGCGGCTAAACTTACATCGGAACTCCAGTCCTTAACCTGTGCAGTGAGGGAAGCCTGCATGACTAATACCGGGATGGTTTCGTTACCGATATCCATCTCCAACGAAATCACAATAGAAGGGCTGGATAACAGGCATATTTCGCCCGTGGGCGGTTTCGCTACTTCATTGTTTGTAACGTCATCAATGTTGATCGCTTCTTCCGCTTCCTCTGTATGAAAGATATTAAATAGTACTTTATAATTTCTTTTATATAAAATTAAAATGTTGTTATTTTAATCAAAAGCTACAGATGGGTTGTCACCACTGAGGACTAAATTAGAAACTTCAAAATTTAGCATAAACTGCTACTTCACGGCAGAAACATACCATATATATATATATAAGTATGGTATGCAACCAGACGAACTCCAAGTAATAGGAAACTATTGTGGTATTTATTTAACAAATACTACAGACTGCTGATGGGCAGTACTAGAACCAGGCTATTGGCTTTTCATTCACCAGGCCACTTGCTGAGGGTGATAAGTGTTGATAAATCTTTTAAGTTATGTATGCGCACATAAGATGAATGTTATGTACTTCAAAAGCCTGTAAACTGAAAGAATAAAATAGAAGGCAAAGCAGATTACCAAAAAAGGTCTCGCCAATATCGGTAATCCGCTTTGCCTTTTTTTTAACATACCCGTTTTTAAGAACCAGTAGGCATTAGGCCGGAATGGCCGAATAGCCCATAGGTTGTCGTACAAAATTGCCTTGTTTTCTTCCTCGACATTGTCTTCTTCTCGGCTCGTCATTGTTGCCAGCACGCGATTCAAAAGCGCTATTATATCTGTAACAAAATACAGATATTATTGCCTTCATTTAAAACAACAAGAATACAACAAGAAAATAGACAGTAAAAAGGCTGTTACTTTATATTATCGCCGATGCCAAATACTCAAACGAAACTAAATTTTAGAGGATCGTAAAGTTTTGTGGTGTCACAGGCCGGCGCCGGGCGGCTGCGAGAGCGCCAGCGACACGTGCGCGGGCGCGGGCGCGAGTGAGTGAGGAGTGAGCTGCACTGACCGGGCGACACGGTGAGCTTGATGTCGGAGACGGCGAGGTCGAGGTGCGGGCCGGCGCCGGGCGGCTGCGTGAGCGCCAGCGACACGTGCGCGGGCGCGAGTGAGTGAGGAGTGAGCTGCACTGACCGGGCGACACGGTGAGCTTGATGTCGGAGACGGCGAGGTCGAGGTGCGGGCCGGCGCCGGGCGGCTGCGAGAGCGCCAGCGACACGTGCGCGGGCGCGAGTGAGTGAGGAGTGAGCTGCACTGACCGGGCGACACGGTGAGCTTGATGTCGGAGACGGCGAGGTCGAGGTGCGGGCCGGCGCCGGGCGGCTGCGAGAGCGCCAGCGACACGTGCGCGGGCGCGAGTGAGTGAGGAGTGAGCTGCACTGACCGGGCGACACGGTGAGCTTGATGTCGGAGACGGCGAGGTCGAGGTGCGGGCCGGCGCCGGGCGGCTGCGAGAGCGCCAGCGACACGTGCGCGGGCGCGGGCGCGAGTGAGTGAGGAGTGAGCTGCACTGACCGGGCGACACGGTGAGCTTGATGTCGGAGACGGCGAGGTCGAGGTGCGGGCCGGCGCCGGGCGGCTGCGAGAGCGCCAGCGACACGTGCGCGGGCGCGGGCGCGAGTGAGTGAGGAGTGAGCTGCACTGACCGGGCGACACGGTGAGCTTGATGTCGGAGACGGCGAGGTCGAGGTGCGGGCCGGCGCCGGGCGGCTGCGAGAGCGCCAGCGACACGTGCGCGGGCGCGGGCGCGAGTGAGTGAGGAGTGAGCTGCACTGACCGGGCGACACGGTGAGCTTGATGTCGGAGACGGCGAGGTCGAGGTGCGGGCCGGCGCCGGGCGGCTGCGAGAGCGCCAGCGACACGTGCGCGGGCGCGGGCGCGAGTGAGTGAGGAGTGAGCTGCACTGACCGGGCGACACGGTGAGCTTGATGTCGGAGACGGCGAGGTCGAGGTGCGGGTCGGCGCCGGGCGGCTGCGAGAGCGCCAGCGACACGTGCGCGGGCGCGAGTGAGTGAGGAGTGAGCTGCACTGACCGGGCGACACGGTGAGCTTGATGTCGGAGACGGCGAGGTCGAGGTGCGGGCCGGCGCCGGGCGGCTGCGAGAGCGCCAGCGACACGTGCGCGGGCGCGAGTGAGTGAGGAGTGAGCTGCACTGACCGGGCGACACGGTGAGCTTGATGTCGGAGACGGCGAGGTCGAGGTGCGGGTCGGCGCCGGGCGGCTGCGAGAGCGCCAGCGACACGTGCGCGGGCGCGAGTGAGTGAGGAGTGAGCTGCACTGACCGGGCGACACGGTGAGCTTGATGTCGGAGACGGCGAGGTCGAGGTGCGGGCCGGCGCCGGGCGGCTGCGAGAGCGCCAGCGACACGTGCGCGGGCGCGGGCGCGAGTGAGTGAGGAGTGAGCTGCACTGACCGGGCGACACGGTGAGCTTGATGTCGGAGACGGCGAGGTCGAGGTGCGGGCCGGCGCCGGGCGGCTGCGAGAGCGCCAGCGACACGTGCGCGGGCGCGGGCGCGAGTGAGTGAGGAGTGAGCTGCACTGACCGGGCGACACGGTGAGCTTGATGTCGGAGACGGCGAGGTCGAGGTGCGGGCCGGCGCCGGGCGGCTGCGAGAGCGCCAGCGACACGTGCGCGGGCGCGGGCGCGAGTGAGTGAGGAGTGAGCTGCACTGACCGGGCGACACGGTGAGCTTGATGTCGGAGACGGCGAGGTCGAGGTGCGGGCCGGCGCCGGGCGGCTGCGAGAGCGCCAGCGACACGTGCGCGGGCGCGGGCGCGAGTGAGTGAGGAGTGAGCTGCACTGACCGGGCGACACGGTGAGCTTGATGTCGGAGACGGCGAGGTCGAGGTGCGGGCCGGCGCCGGGCGGCTGCGAGAGCGCCAGCGACACGTGCGCGGGCGCGGGCGCGAGTGAGTGAGGAGTGAGCTGCACTGACCGGGCGACACGGTGAGCTTGATGTCGGAGACGGCGAGGTCGAGGTGCGGGCCGGCGCCGGGCGGCTGCGAGAGCGCCAGCGACACGTGCGCGGGCGCGGGCGCGAGTGAGTGAGGAGTGAGCTGCACTGACCGGGCGACACGGTGAGCTTGATGTCGGAGACGGCGAGGTCGAGGTGCGGGCCGGCGCCGGGCGGCTGCGAGAGCGCCAGCGACACGTGCGCGGGCGCGGGCGCGAGTGAGTGAGGAGTGAGCTGCACTGACCGGGCGACACGGTGAGCTTGATGTCGGAGACGGCGAGGTCGAGGTGCGGGCCGGCGCCGGGCGGCTGCGAGAGCGCCAGCGACACGTGCGCGGGCGCGGGCGCGAGTGAGTGAGGAGTGAGCTGCACTGACCGGGCGACACGGTGAGCTTGATGTCGGAGACGGCGAGGTCGAGGTGCGGGCCGGCGCCGGGCGGCTGCGAGAGCGCCAGCGACACGTGCGCGGGCGCGAGTGAGTGAGGAGTGAGCTGCACTGACCGGGCGACACGGTGAGCTTGATGTCGGAGACGGCGAGGTCGAGGTGCGGGCCGGCGCCGGGCGGCTGCGAGAGCGCCAGCGACACGTGCGCGGGCGCGAGTGAGTGAGGAGTGAGCTGCACTGACCGGGCGACACGGTGAGCTTGATGTCGGAGACGGCGAGGTCGAGGTGCGGGCCGGCGCCGGGCGGCTGCGTGAGCGCCAGCGACACGTGCGCGGGCGCGAGTGAGTGAGGAGTGAGCTGCACTGACCGGGCGACACGGTGAGCTTGATGTCGGAGACGGCGAGGTCGAGGTGCGGGCCGGCGCCGGGCGGCTGCGAGAGCGCCAGCGACACGTGCGCGGGCGCGGGCGCGAGTGAGTGAGGAGTGAGCTGCACTGACCGGGCGACACGGTGAGCTTGATGTCGGAGACGGCGAGGTCGAGGTGCGGGCCGGCGCCGGGCGGCTGCGAGAGCGCCAGCGACACGTGCGCGGGCGCGAGTGAGTGAGGAGTGAGCTGCACTGACCGGGCGACACGGTGAGCTTGATGTCGGAGACGGCGAGGTCGAGGTGCGGGCCGGCGCCGGGCGGCTGCGAGAGCGCCAGCGACACGTGCGCGGGCGCGGGCGCGAGTGAGTGAGGAGTGAGCTGCACTGACCGGGCGACACGGTGAGCTTGATGTCGGAGACGGCGAGGTCGAGGTGCGGGCCGGCGCCGGGCGGCTGCGAGAGCGCCAGCGACACGTGCGCGGGCGCGGGCGCGAGTGAGTGAGGAGTGAGCTGCACTGACCGGGCGACACGGTGAGCTTGATGTCGGAGACGGCGAGGTCGAGGTGCGGGCCGGCGCCGGGCGGCTGCGAGAGCGCCAGCGACACGTGCGCGGGCGCGGGCGCGAGTGAGTGAGGAGTGAGCTGCACTGACCGGGCGACACGGTGAGCTTGATGTCGGAGACGGCGAGGTCGAGGTGCGGGCCGGCGCCGGGCGGCTGCGAGAGCGCCAGCGACACGTGCGCGGGCGCGGGCGCGAGTGAGTGAGGAGTGAGCTGCACTGACCGGGCGACACGGTGAGCTTGATGTCGGAGACGGCGAGGTCGAGGTGCGGGCCGGCGCCGGGCGGCTGCGAGAGCGCCAGCGACACGTGCGCGGGCGCGGGCGCGAGTGAGTGAGGAGTGAGCTGCACTGACCGGGCGACACGGTGAGCTTGATGTCGGAGACGGCGAGGTCGAGGTGCGGGCCGGCGCCGGGCGGCTGCGTGAGCGCCAGCGACACGTGCGCGGGCGCGAGTGAGTGAGGAGTGAGCTGCACTGACCGGGCGACACGGTGAGCTTGATGTCGGAGACGGCGAGGTCGAGGTGCGGGCCGGCGCCGGGCGGCTGCGAGAGCGCCAGCGACACGTGCGCGGGCGCGGGCGCGAGTGAGTGAGGAGTGAGCTGCACTGACCGGGCGACACGGTGAGCTTGATGTCGGAGACGGCGAGGTCGAGGTGCGGGCCGGCGCCGGGCGGCTGCGAGAGCGCCAGCGACACGTGCGCGGGCGCGAGTGAGTGAGGAGTGAGCTGCACTGACCGGGCGACACGGTGAGCTTGATGTCGGAGACGGCGAGGTCGAGGTGCGGGCCGGCGCCGGGCGGCTGCGAGAGCGCCAGCGACACGTGCGCGGGCGCGGGCGCGAGTGAGTGAGGAGTGAGCTGCACTGACCGGGCGACACGGTGAGCTTGATGTCGGAGACGGCGAGGTCGAGGTGCGGGCCGGCGCCGGGCGGCTGCGAGAGCGCCAGCGACACGTGCGCGGGCGCGGGCGCGAGTGAGTGAGGAGTGAGCTGCACTGACCGGGCGACACGGTGAGCTTGATGTCGGAGACGGCGAGGTCGAGGTGCGGGCCGGCGCCGGGCGGCTGCGAGAGCGCCAGCGACACGTGCGCGGGCGCGGGCGCGAGTGAGTGAGGAGTGAGCTGCACTGACCGGGCGACACGGTGAGCTTGATGTCGGAGACGGCGAGGTCGAGGTGCGGGCCGGCGCCGGGCGGCTGCGAGAGCGCCAGCGACACGTGCGCGGGCGCGGGCGCGAGTGAGTGAGGAGTGAGCTGCACTGACCGGGCGACACGGTGAGCTTGATGTCGGAGACGGCGAGGTCGAGGTGCGGGCCGGCGCCGGGCGGCTGCGAGAGCGCCAGCGACACGTGCGCGGGCGCGGGCGCGAGTGAGTGAGGAGTGAGCTGCACTGACCGGGCGACACGGTGAGCTTGATGTCGGAGACGGCGAGGTCGAGGTGCGGGCCGGCGCCGGGCGGCTGCGAGAGCGCCAGCGACACGTGCGCGGGCGCGAGTGAGTGAGGAGTGAGCT